CCAATCTCTCCAATTTGGAAAAAGAAGAAACCCTTGATGAAGAAGAATACTCTACCAGTAACCCATATTCATCGTTTGGAATTGAGAAGAAAATTATATCAGAGTCAAAATCAAGGCTTGTGTCGGAAGTTTTTCAACGGTTGTGCGAGTCTGGCTCTATTCGTTGCGTGTGTGTTGATCACGTACATGCTCGTCATGAATTAACTTTAGTCGAGTTCATTATCTATGGGTTGGAGGATTGTACTGGTTTCTTTTATGGTGTGGATTCTGAGTTGGTCGATTCGTGGAATTGATGATCTTGGTCTTGATGTATTTTAGAGTATTCAAGAATGAGGACTTGTCAAATTTCTCAGCCTTATCCACTCGTGTGGAGTTGAATGATACAGATGCACAACAGGATGAAACACTGTTACGCTCTTCCACACAAGATGACACAATGAATGTGAGACCAACGCTTAGAAAAAGAAATTCTTTCGGTAAGAGCAAATTGGTATTACTGTGTTTGGATATTGTGAGTCCAAGAGTTGCTGCCAGACCCAAGATGACAACCGTGATTGTGATTGCTTGTGTTGCCATCTTTTTCTTGATTTCGACCTTAGTGTCGTATTTTTGTTATCATATTTGCATTGCGTATGATCCGGTTGAAGTTTCAACATTATTCTCAAGGACGGTTCTATCCAAGAGAACTTGTGAATATGATGAGATTTGTTATACTTATTTGACTGTCCCTGAAAAGATGAGTTCAGAAATGATTGTGAATTTTCAAGTTTCGACCAGCCGTTTCTATAAGGGATTTGTAGAACTTGGCAAGTTTGACCCAGAAGAAGAACTGAACATTGCAAGTTCTGTCACATTTGACAAGAATAAGCAAGCAAGCTGTTTTTTAATGGAAAATATTTTCGAAGAATCCAGATACCAATGTTATGCTGAATTAACCGAGCTAGAATCTGGCTCGTCGTACATTGTTAGAGCAGGTTATTCACAATTCCAAAACGATGATAGTGGAGTACATTATGGCTCAATTGTGAAATTTAGAACCACTCCCTCAGAAGAGGATGACGATGCTTTGGAAAACATTGCTTTCATCAATGGTGGAGACTTGGCATGGAGAAATCCAACCATTGCTCTTGGAAAATATATTAGCATGATTGGATATTCTCAAAAGTCAATTGCTCCTTATTTTGCCATTGTCGGTGGTGACGTGAGTTATGACAATGGTTGTGCAGCTTGTTATCGAAGATGGGATGATTGGTTCCATTATTGGGCTCAATATATGACGACCACCATTCAATATGGATCGACCAATCATACCTATGCTCTTCCAATCATTACAGCTGTTGGAAATCATGAATCAGGAAATTTCTTGAGACCACGTTCAGATGACGCATTCTACATTCGATACTTTCCAATGTCAATTTCTGGAGAATCTGAACGAGTTGCAAAAGATCCTCAAATGACGAGAAGGCTTCAACATGTGCATTATCTTTCCAGTCACACCATGATCGTGGTGCTAGATAGTTGGGTTCATGACTCACCTCAAGATCAAATCGAGTACATTACAAAGGTATTTGAAAATACTCCTGCAAACAAGTATCGAAACAGAATTGTTGTGATTCACCATCCCATGTACACCTCGGCAAAATACAAATCTTTCATCGCTAAGGAAATGATTGAGAAATGGGAATCGTTGTTCCTTAAAATGAACGTGACCTCTGTATTTGAGAATCATGTACACACATACAAGCAAACGTATCCTTTGAAAGATGGAAAAATTGTTACCAAGAAGAGCTCAGACAGTTCAACGGAATCCTTTACATATACCAAGGTCCCAGAACAATACAATCAACATGGAATCATTTATGTTGGGGATGGAAGTTGGGGTGTAACTTTTTGGAATGTCCAAATGGACGTTAAAAATCCAATATTCAGACAAATTGGAGCATTTAGTCATGTGTATCATGTCAATACGAGGTTATTGAACTCTGGAACTACGGCTTTAGAGTTGTCTGCTCTTGGATATAACAGCACTTGTGGAGCAATTTACCATGTGGAAGGCTCCAAACTTAGGATTCTTACTGTGTAACTGTGACACGTGTAGAAGAAGCAAACTTGAAACAGCATTCCTCCAATTTAGGACAGACGCTGCATGAAAGTTTTTGAAGAACGAAAAGATATGCAGTCGCTTTAGGAAGACACGTTAATACGATGGAATGATTGTTGCTGTTAAAACCTTACATAATCCATTAAAAGAAACACCAATCTATTTTCAACTAAAGCTTGGACTTTTTAATTGTTACACACCATGGGTGGTCAATAAGTTACGGAGGCGAGAGCACATTTTGAATGCGTTGGTTAAATGGTCCAAACCTGCAGAAAAACTGGAAACCTTAATTTTAGACACATACTCTTCACTGAAAAAACCAATTTCGTTATCTTCTGTAATAAAATGTCTGTGACGAGATTCTGAACTCATGTTGGAATTTTTGAGCTGAGAAGCCGAAGAAGTAGCAATGGATGTGTAACTGATACCATAAACTCCAACGTGCAGTTGTGAATTGTTAATAGAAAATTCTACAAGAGCTTCTTTCGGTAACCGTGGATGGTACGCTTGCTGAATAAGCTCAATGTTTGTCTTTTCCGAAATGGAGCTAGATAGTCTGTACTCATCCGTTAAAAATCTCAAACCGCCATACATTGTTAATTGTTCTCGTCCTTGTTGTACAAGTATCATTACGCGTTCTAAAATGGATAATATTGTTGTCACGTCCCTCTCAATTTTTGATGTTTTAGAAAAATAACTATTATTGTTCATATCCACTTCATTATCCTCATCCCCTTCCAGAACAATATTCGAACTTTCAGAATATTTCTCAATGTCAATATTCTTCATCTTATTAAGAGCATAGTCTGCCATGTGGTGGCCCTTTGAACTTGGCTCAAAGTGTATGGGTCATTTGGTTTAATCTCAGCTTCAAAACTGTTCTTCATCTTGTGTAACTTGAAATTGATTTTTCCACCCAAAATACGATAACCCTCTACCAATAAATATCCTTTTAGAATGGAATGGTTTTGATCGGTTATATGTAGCTGAATTCTCTCAGCATTAGTACCCTTTCTACTGAAACTGGCATTAAATCGGGAGTGTGCAGCTGGTGTGATAGGAGTACGTGGCTCACCTTCGTTTGTAGATGATAAAGCATGATGTTGTTGTTGTACTTCCGATGATCCTAAAGTGTTTGGTGTGATGGGTCTGTCTGTATTTGGTGTAATGGATCGTTGATGAGGTTCATTATTCGTGTTTGGAGTGATGGATGTTGATGAGGTTCCTCCTTGTACCTGTGCATGGAGAGTATTAATCGCATCGTTCAATCCTATGGGATGAGAGGTCATCACTTCACCGCCCAAATGATTAATTGCTAATTGAATTTCCGCAATAATTTTACTCCATTGTTGTGGTACTATATTGTAGAGAAGATGTTTCAACTCCTTCATCATTGTTTCCTGTTCCAGAGATTGAATCATTTCTTCTTCCGATTGATGCTGTGGGAGAGAAGGTGATATGCTGGGTGTTGAGTTTATCATTTTTATTTTGATGAAACGAGTTATTAAATTTGTAAAATGTAAATTTTAAATCGAAAAGCTTCAAGTCATTAATTATTTGTGGAATGAATTTGCATATCCTCTGTTTGTTCTGTTTGTTGGATGGGCCTTTTCTGTCGATTTGGCTCTGCTCTGCATTGTAGGTGCTCTACTAGTAGAGATGGACGTCATCGAAGTATTTGATGGCTTGGTGTTTGGGCTGCTGCGTTCCTCGATCAGTTTCTTGAGGGTCTCTTTGCATTGATTATACTCTTTTTGTAAGTTATTCACATATTCTACTGCTTGATGAAGAAGACTTTCCTTTTCTTCAAGTGATGCTTGTAGTTTTCTATTGAATTCCACCGAAATATTGAGTTGAATTCGAGTATCTAGTAGTTTAGATTTTGCATCCATCGCGAGAGCAATGTCATGTAAATGTTTCAAAACTTCTTGGCTTGTATCAAGATCTGATTGTTTCAACAGTCCCATAACTTTTTCCACACCCTGATTGATCTCTGAAAGGGCTGTTCTTGTGCTGACAAGATCTTGTTGCATGTCCCTAACTACTTCGTTATGAAAGGCTATTCTTGCTGTAGCTTGCTTAATTGCATCATCTGGGTTTTGGGGGTGCCCTTGTCTCAGCTCCTCTCTTTCTGCCAAAAGGGTTTCTATTTCTTTTTTCATTTCTTCTATGACTGCCATGTGATCGTTTCGTTCTTTGGAAATTGCGTCTTGCAACTCTTTTTTAAAGATTTCTGCTCCTTCTCTAAGAGACTTTTTTGCAGATTCCAGGCTTTTTTCCAATGCGTCAATCAGCTTTTGTTGTTTTTCAATCTTGAGTCTGGTGTTATCGTTATCAATCGACTCAAAGACACGGTTTCGTAATAACTCGTTCTCTTCCTTTAAAATTGTCATTTCCTGCTCATAATTATTAATCTTTTCTTTAAGTTCATTTTCGATTTTGGCATGTTTCACTTTTTCAATTCGCTCTGTTTCTTCTTGTTCGTACTTTGTTTTCAGCTTTTCGATCAGTTCGTCTGCTTGGTTCTGGAAATGATTTGCCATCTCTCTTAATTCATCATTTTCCTTTTCTAGCCTCTCAATTTCGTTAGAATCATCATTGATTTCAGGAGGAGTATCTGTCTGTACTGCTACAACAACCTTTTCAGATAAATCTTTTTCTAGCAACTGGGCTAGCTCTTCGCTTCTCTCCAGTAATTGGTTATAATCAGTAGTAAGAGAGGAAAGCTCGTACTGGTACATTTCTGATTGAGAGTGAAAATGGTTCTTTTCTTTCTCTAGGTCTGCATACTCTTGTTTCAACTTTTCTATCTCAGACTTTTCATTATTTACATTTTTAAGACTGGTAATTTCTTGATTCAGTCTGTTAATATTGTCCTCCATAGTCCTAATTGTTTGATCCTTATTTTCTATATCCTCCTTCAATTGTTTCACTGTAGCGCTCTCTTCCATTTCTAACTTGGAAGCTTCAGCCCCGTTTTTTAGCGTCTCTTTAAGCTGTTTTTTCAAATTGGAAATTTCTAATAAGAGACTTTCAATTTGTTCTTGCTGAGATGATACAAGAACAGCATAGTCATCATCGTTTCCAGTTTTTGAATCGTTTAAATGTTTCTGAATGATAGAGACGGTTTTGTCCATGGTCATTACTGTTTTTTCAGAATTTGAAAGCAATTCATTAAGGTTAGATTGATTCTCAAGTAAATTATTGGCATTTTCTTTTTGCTTTCTTTCAAAGTCTTGAGCGTAAAGCGCTGATATTTCAGCTGTAAGATTGTGATTTTCTTCTTCTAGCTGCGATTTTTCAATGTCTAGTTCCTTCATCTTTTCTTGCTTTTCTATCAATTGTCTCTTCACTTCATTGAAAGCTTGGTTCATTTCTTCAAGTTCTAACAAGGACCTTGAATACATTTCACGCAACTCCTTGTTTTCCATATTCAACATTTCTTTTGTAGAAGATATAGAATTATTGTTTGCTTTTTCTTTTTCGAGCGACTCAACACGTGATGACGCATCTTCATACTTATGCCTCCAGCTTGCGACCTGTTCCAATAATTCTTGGTGTTGGATGTTGGCATTTTCGCATTCCTTTCGGTATTTCTCTTTCTTTTCTTCTAATCTCTTAGCTTCTTTTTCTAGGTCGGTTAGTGCCTGTTGTAGAGACTCTATTGTTGAATCCTTCATCTTCACCGCGCTTTCTTGATCACGCACGAAATTCCTGTTCGTTTAAAAAATTCATAATTAACAATTAATTTATCATCGCTATTTCATACCTTTGCTTGTTCAACTCTTCCTCCGAAACATCTAGCGCGTGGGTAATTGTAAGAACTTGATTTCTAATGTTTTCATTTTCCTCTTCCAATAGGTTGATCTGTTCCTCCAGATTTTTATTTCTTTCACTCAAGATTTTAATTTCTTTCAACGCTTCCGATTTATCTTCTGCTGGTGGTGAGGCTTCTTGCTGCTGATTTTTTCCAATTTTAATCAGCGTGTGTTTCAGTTTTTCAATCTCTTTATCCTTCTTTTCCGATAAGGCTTTAAGAGATGCAATCTTTTTTGATGATCCTAAATACTCGTAACACGAAATCATCGACCTACCTCTTTCTCAGCAAACATCACCTCTTCAATCACCACAGACAGATCCTTTTGCTTTTTAGCCAGCTTTTGCTCCAGATCTTTAATCTTTTGTGCCGATAATGAGTCTTCATTTTGATTTGCCGCTGTTGGAACGTTTGTTGTTTGAGACGAGAGCTTGCTCTTAAGGAAGCTCATTTTTTTGCCTTAATTTCTTTATTGTGGTTGGATCGTTATTGGTACTCGTCGATCATCATTACAAGAACCATACTAGTATCAATGCATGAATACAAGTTTGGAGGTATTACATGTAAGGAGAGCTTTGTGAACTTTGCAATTGTTGGTGTGGATGCATTTGATTGGTTTTATGTGCCTCTCGCACCCCAAAGCAAACGGTACAACTGATGACACCACAACATGCCAATATTGGAACCACCACAGCCACAATCGAGCATATCAGAATGACAATGGCAGCTATTACAGAGCCAACAATGACTCCAATGATCCAATCAGCGAAGGCTTGAATCACAGCTCCGCTTACACTCGAAACACTCAGTGTAAATTTGTTATTTTGTGAAGATGATCCTTTTCCGAATACTCCAATGTAATAGGTGGTGGCTATTTTCATTGGCAACAACAAATCCGTTCAATTAATAAGAATCCAAAGAACATAAGTGTAGCATGCATGATTAGATTTGGGATGATTTGAATGTTGCCAAGAGAAATGAAACGATTCAAGACAGACTTACCTAATTTCACTCCCACGGTTCGCGAATAATTGGACACTATATAGTCGTAATTCGTGAGTGTAGGTTGAGAAAGTCTTTTGAAAACAACCGTTACGTTATCATTCATACCAATGGACACGGTCAATAGTCGATCGGAATCAACATCCATCGAATACATGTTTGAGTTTCCTCCAGATACAAAAGCAATGACTGTCTGTCCTCCTTTCGAGAGAGGTGTCACGGTGGTGGATTGAGAGATGGAACGAACCATCGAAAGGGAAAATGCATTGGAAAATCCAATCATGTGAGATAATGCCAGCATGACCACGAAAGCAACACCGCAAGAGAAGATCCGAAAAGATGACATGTCTCAGAGAGGTGATTGTTGCTTGTTTTTTTTGAAAGCTTCCACTCGAGATGAAATCGATTTGAAGGCAGTTGACATTTATCAAAATCGAGGAGCTCCATTTTCAGAAGGAATTTTGAATCACCAATTGGAATGAGTATGATGCAACGATCAGGTCTAATGAAATATGCTCTCTTTGATGTCGACCCAGATCAGGCACTTTTAACATTTCATCAACACTGCAAAGTTTGTGAACTGCTTTTTAATGAGGTTGATCAAAATGTGAAATCAGAATTCAAAAGGAAATCCATCATCATTGATGTGAAGGAAGGAACTTGATTGGATCCTTTAAAATGGTTTACAATTGACATGAATACATTTGTTGGGTAAATCAAATAATGATGGATCGACCTTACTCGTCTCAAAATTATAGAAATTACTCTCATCCACATAATAACCGCCAGCACTTATTGGCCCATCTGCAAAGATTAGCGAACGAAAAGGAAAGCATTCATTCTTTCCCATCTTTTCACTATTCGAGATGAACCAATTGTCATGATTCTCTCCAGTATTGGGATTGGTAAGATATAAACGAGTCACATTCATTCCAAAGACATTCAAGAGCTGGACGTTCCAATCGTTGTTATTTCCTCCAAAACATTGTTCCAAACCTCCATTGTATAAGGAACGACACATGCAATCCGTTCGATTGGCTTTCCAGTAGTACGAATAAAGTACATTTTGATCAATGAATTCGATGGTTGAAGAGTCTAAGGTCATTCCATCGTTCACATAAACATCTTTTCTCAAGCGTGGTTGACTACGAGTGCTAAATTCAAAGTATTGGATCTCTTTGGACACACTGAATGGTTTTTGATTGTACGATGCAACTCGAATTGAACTAAAAGAACCATGAGAAGGAAGACAGCAATAACCGTTGTTGTTTTGTATGGTGGTGGACATGGGTTTAGAGACGATCTGAGAAGAAGCAACACCTCTTAATATCATCGAGCTCGAAACATGCACCACAAGGTAAGATGTAAGGACAAGACAAAGCAGAGTGGTTGGCGAGATCATGGAAAGAAACATTGTGTTGTTGTGGATTTTTTTGAGTTATGAAATAAGAATACTAAGCGTCTTGTTTGAGATTTTGTAACCCGAGGGGTTGAGGTGAGGATTCGGATTTCAGGAGTTGAAGAATTGTAACAGAAGGATTCGTTAGTTCATGATACCAGAATTTGGAAAGTAAGAGTTTGTTAATAAAAAATGAAAAAACCATGATGTCTCAAGTTCATCACGAGGTGATCATTAATAATTTCAAATACGATGAAAATTCTAGCTCACCTAGTATTCATTGGAGAGAGCCTGTATTTGAATATCGTTATGGATTATTTCCTTTCTCAAAGGATGAACTCTTGCTTCATATCCGAAAAGAAATAACGAATATCAATCATCAAAGTACGGCAGAGAAAATTTATTATTCTGATGAAAATGTGAGAGGAGTTTATATGTTTGGCTCTAGGGTTTCGAAAACAAATGTCAATGATTCTGATTTTGACATGCTAGTAATAGTTGACGAGTTGCATTCAGAGATGGCTAAAGAAGGAGGCTATTCAAGTAACATGCAATACATGCTACACTCATCAATTGAATGTGAGGTGAAAAACAAAAGCAGTGTCAATGTTGTGGAGAAGTTTGAAATTGAAGTGCATTTGATGAGTACATATTTCTTTGTGGAATATGTCTATTCAGAACTTCCAATATTCATGTTGAGCGCCCAACAACCAAACGCCGATTATGTTCTGTATGAATGTGCGAGAATGAAACTATGGAGACAACACTGGAATCAATGGTTTCTGAGGATTGCGAGAGCAAAAAATTCTTTCTTGCACGAATTGAAGTATTGTTTCAACAAATCATCTCGATTTTGGAACGGCTTGAAAAATGGAATTTTCACAACGGATCATGGAAGAAAGAGCGCCTTAAAAAAGGTGAAAAAGAATTTAGCTCATGGTATAAGGTTGGTATTTATCCATACAATCTTTTCAAACTCAAAATTCCTTTGACATTTAGGTACTGCAAATTTGCATATCAAATAGTTTTTGGAGGGTGTATTTATGATTACAAAGAGACAAACAAAGTGTATGATGATATTGTTTTTAACACTGACCATTACAAAACCTGGGAAGAATACAAAATCCATGCAGAGCAGCATTACAACAAGTGGAATATAGAATTCAAGGATGATTTGAAAAATGTTGTTAAAGATGCTTTGGAGAATATGAAAAAAATTAGCCCAAAACCTGGATCATTAACTATTGTTGAATTTTTAAATCGCTACTTGGCTTGCTTTAAAGTGAATGGAACGTTTATTGACACCAACAATAACGTGATTCTTCGCCATACTTTCGATAAGAATTATTCATTTCAATATTGCCACGGACCCTTCTCTCTAATGCGACTTTTTGCCATCAATGTAACGCCAATTGATTGGCATGACAATCCTAATAAGGCTAAACTATTCAAGCTGAACATGGACTGGAAGTACATCAACTTGGAACTCGCTTCGGTATTTTATGAAGTGTCATCCTATTTAGAGTGTAATGGAACCATTGTTGGAATTACTAACAAAGATGGAGGTCATGAACAATCCATACAAGTTGAATATTATCCTGTAAGCATTTCAAGACGTTATTTAGAAGAATATGAAAACCTTTCCAACCGTCATGCAAATATTGATTTCACCAAAAATCTCTGCAAATTCTCCATCTATGTGAAACCTAGGGGAATTACATGCGAATTGTTTTATTTCGAAAATCAATGGCATTTCACTCTCGATACAGAGAAAGAAGAATGGATTTATTGGGTTGCACAACCTAGAGAAAACGACGAAAAAAAGCAATTATTGGGGATGTTGAAACAACTTCCAAGCGTGGAAGACTCTCATATGACATTTTACTTCATTCTTCAAAAGAAAACAAATCGGCTTATTTTTCGAGGGTGTAGAGATTTAACAACATTGCGTGAATGTTATGACTGGAGAAAGTATGGAGAAAAATATGGATGGCAAGACCAGGTAGAACAACTGTCGATTATTGACACGACTAGCGTCTCTGATTTAACCGATCTAATTAATAACTTTTCTAGATATTCTCCATCTGATTTTGAAGGATTAGAGTTAATTAACTATTCAGAAGAGTACCAAAGCTTTTCCATTCTGTCTTCTATTCATGCCAATATACCCAACCTAAGAATATGCAACGCCAACTACATGCTCAATCTTCTTAATCCAGAAATTTTCCAAGATCCTCCTGACGAGCTTACTCAGTCCAAATATAACGAATCCAGATTATTGAAGGTCATTGTTCAAAGTTTATATGCGCAAGATATCTCTGAAGAATTTGTCATTCAAGAATTGAACCCACTGTTTCTAGTTCCCTACACAAAGATGAAGACCGCCTATCTTCAACTGTGTGAATTACTCGATCAATTTTATAGGGATAACCTCCTTTCCAAGGAAGGCGATATTGAAGCTTTCAATAGCACAGCCATCACCTTTCCTTTAAATCAGAACAAAATCACTGGTCTATTTCACAATCTCAAAAGGTTCTACAAACAAGCTAAGATTGTGTCAGCATCGAGCTATTGGAGAAATTTATTTATTTACAATGCTGAAGGAAAGGATTTTGTCTCTCAGTCACGCTGTTTACTTGATCTACTATCAGCTTTCGAGAAGCTGCAAAGCAAGTGAGACATTTCCTATGGTAAAAGTCAATTATCTTTGTTTCAATTAAATTAAAAACGCTTTGAGTTTTTAACAAGATACATCGAGCTGTGTACGTCAAAGTGGGAACATGTCCAAGCATGAATTCAAGTAATCGTTGTAAGGAAAAACCAGTGATAATTTGTTAAACAGTAACTGGTTTTCAGATACGCTGCTAAATTGAATTGTACATATTGGTAAGAAATTTAGAAGGAAACACAGTGGTTTAACTCGAGCCAAAGTTTGCCAACGAGTTTGTTGGTTGCCTCTCGCCCTGCTGAAACCACCATGTGTAATTTGAAAAGAACTGGTTCAGAGTGAAAATTTGAATTGTGCAAGATCAAGAACTGCGTAGAGAAAATTATCATCACACACCTAAAAATAAAATAAAGGGAGTTCATTTGAAAGACACCAGCAAAACAAAAAAATGGCATCTGAATCTTCGAGGAAAAAAAATAACACAACACCTCCGCTAGGTGTTCACATTGAGCACCCTCTAACATCTACCCAAAGAACCTATCTCCGAATCATTAAAATTATATTTAAAACTTATCTCTCCCTCTCTGCAGAGTACTGTACTAATTTAGTACCGTACAACTATCACCCGTTATAAATTGTGACCGTTGTGATCAAACTGTAATCGAGACCCTATTACGATGGCAGTTATTAAAATCAAAGCACCAATGACCGAATGGTATTTAATCAGAACTACAAGATCAGTCTCTTTATTCAAAGACAATTCAATTAGGATAATCAATAGGATCGGTAAAATAAGATCCAATCGTACAGAACTTGGATCAAAACGGAGTCTGAAACTGGACATAGGATTTAGAGAATTGACAAACACCATCAAGTCTGATAATGAAGAATTAATGATTACCAATAGGATTGCAACTCGAGCTTTCTTATATGACTGTACAAAGGATTGTACCAACAGGAAGAAATATGAAGATGAAATTGAGGAATGCCACAAAAAGCTTAAATTATTATCTCACTTCAGTAGCTCCAGAATTATCTGTTCTAACTCTCAATATTAATGGTCTCAGAGCAGAACCATTATCAGCCCTAAAAGGCTACCTCAATTCAATCACTCCTGATATAATCATGCTCCAGGAAGTTAAAAGCGTCTATATTGGTCCAGATTTTCCCTCTATATATTATTCTTCATTTACGTATTATCATGATCCAAGAGATTCATGTGGTGTATCTATTTGCCTTAACAAAAGTACTTTCAAAGATATTGAAGAAATCATCTTAGATCCGATCATTAGAAGTAACGCGCGAATTATTGGAGCGAAATGTAAAGTCAATTCGATCAATACTCTAGTTATTTCTGCGTACTTTCCAAACCAACCAGCTGACAGATGTGAATTCACATATATTCTTGACGACCTAATTGAAAAATATCCTAATCACAAAATCATTATTGGAGGTGATTATAATGCAATCTTATCAGAGAATCACTCCTCAAATGAATCCAGAAGAACTGATCAAAATATATTAGATCTTATTAACAAGAGAAATCTTAATTACTATCCTTTCCCACATTTATCATGGCACCTTCATTATACTATTAACAAACAATCCAAGTCTATAATAGACTACATATCCACAGATTTTCCTATTGCATCTGGTGAAGTATTGAATGCCAATTTCATATCAGACCACAAAATGGTTAAAATTCTACTTGATCTCTCATGTCAACGAACACCTTTGTTAATTCGAAAGAAACGTAACTTCCAAGATCCCAAAAATAAGAAAGAAGTGTTGGCCATTAGCAAAGAATGTGTATCTCAAGTTAAGAATTTAGAAACTGATAACGACAAATGGCTTTTCATTTGTGATAAACTAGGCGATAAATTTGTGGAGGTCAATCCACCTAAACTTGATCCTAAAATCTACAAATATAATAAGCAATACAAGAAGCTCATGTTAATACTTGATAGAAGTGAGCACGGATATCCTTGTGACAAGTTATTGGCCACTATCGGTAAAACTTTAGAACAGGTTCCAAAATGTCTAGCAAGTGTCAAAGAGAAGATCAAGAATCATATCAAATGGAGCCATGACAAGGCTTTGAATAGGAAGATGAAATGGTGGGAACAGAATTATGCAACCAACTCTAAACACTTGCGAAAGAAAATTTACAAAACATCATCACCACCATACAAATTATCTATTGACGGAACTGAAATTAATGATCCCAATGAAGTTGCCAATGTGATCAAGGATAAATATCAACAAAATCTCAACTTTAGAGGAAGGAATCATCAAATTGACATTACCAAGTTTTTCAAGTACAAACATCCATTAATTGATAATTGCAATGACAAAATACTCGGTAGAATTACCACGGAAGAGAAAGAATGGATAATTCAGAATTTAAAATCCACAGCACCCAACGAACTAGGTTTAAGACAAAAAACCATCAAATACATGTGTAACGAATTACAGGAGGAAATTTTTCAAATTATTGAAAATATCATTACTACTGGATTTACTCCTGAATCAATGCAAAGTGTCAGCATTCTCCCAATTCACAAAAAGAATAAGGACCACTCAAACCCTGCTAACTATAGACCTATTGCCCTCATGGACTCAGGACTTAAAATAGCTACTAAATTAATCACCAAAAGATTGAAGGAAGGTTTAAAGGGAAGATTATCCATAGCTCAATTTGGTGGTGAAGACGGCAGAGAAACTATTCACAGAGTTCTTTCAATTTACAATATGATTGCTTGGGCAAAAAAGGACAAGAAACCTTTTTACGGTTTGGCTGTTGACATCAAAAAAGCTTATGACTCATTACCGAGAATTATGCTTCGAGATGGACTACTATTCTTAGGAATTGATGAAATTACTGCTGATGGAATTCTGGAAATATTAGGTGAATCTACGACAAAGTTTGTTATACCTAATGGTAAATCAGAATGTTTCACTGTGAAAGATGGATTGAAACAAGGTGACACCTTCTCTCCCCTTGCATTCAAAATTGCACTTGAGCCTCTCTTACAATTTTTAGAAATAACATATAATGGTGCTAGTGTTGCAAATTATTGGAACATTAGTACAGGCGCATGGATTGATGATTTGAATTCATTTTCCAATGAATTACCTGAAATTGAAAATTCTTTGCATGACATTGAAACCTATCTCCATGGCTATCACATGGAATTAGATCATTCCAAAACTAACCTCTTCTCCGATAAGGAATGTAGTATCAAGACATTATCTGGAAGTACGATCAAAAGTAATGATTCTGTTATTATACTAGGTAATAATATTACCAATAATACTGAGGAACAAAAGAAATACACTACTTCAATTATTGAAGAAGTTAAAAGAAGAACTAACTCTATTGGCTGGAATTTTCCAATACAAAACATTGTCAAAATTATCAACACAGACATTGTTCCGTATGCACTGTACCACCTAATTCCTCTCGCTAATGACCATCTAGAGAAACAAATTGATAAATTCCTTCGCAACTTTATATGTGAAAGATTAAGAACCAAGAGAAAATTAGCTCTCGAGTGGTTTTATACTCATCAAGACAAAGGTGGACTTGGATTAATTTCTGTTCTAGAAATGAGTTACTCGGACCTAATGTGTAAAGTCAGAAAGTTCCTTGAACAATATGATATCTGTCTTGGATCTTCTACAAGATTCCTTTGTGAACGAATCAAACAGGAGCATGGTTTTGACATCCTCAATGATCCAATCCCTACTTGGTATAAACCAGACCCATGGATTCCTCAATATCTCAAGAGAATAATTTTCATGAACAAATCTTCCAATATTAGATTGTGGCATTCGAGTGACCAATGGCATGAAAAAACTCTCATCCCTTATGGAAAATTCCCTAAAGGTTTAAGACAATTCCTGCTCTACAAAGATTGGAACAGATTAAGCATGTGGGTTCCTGACCCTAAAAATTTACAAGTGAAATTACATGATGATATCAAACATTCCAATCATATCACCCAGATTCGCAACATTCTCAATAGCATGGATTTTGGAAAAATCAAAGACGAAAGCAAATACTACAAATATGTTGGTAACAACACATCCCTGTCAAACCTCTTGAACAAAGCTACACTAATTGGTACTGACGGATCATGTAACAATAATATTGCTGGTTACGGTATTGTAACTGATCAGAATGTTTCCATCTCAAGTCACACCTTAGGACAAGGAACTGCCTACAACAGTGAAGTTCAAGCACTCCACACAGCTGTTAGATTGCTAGATAACAACACTCCTAGAACAATAGTCATAGATGCGAAAAGTATTTATGACCAACTTTTCCAATTCAGAAAATCTAGAGATCCTTATGTTGAAGAAATTCGTAATTATTTAAAAGTGAAGGATCAGATCAAAATTATGCATGTTAATAGTCATACAGGTAAACAAGATATCTATAGCCGTATAAATGAATTAGCAGATAGGGCTGCTAAGAAAGGTGCTGATTGTAACAATATTCTTACTAATATTCCATCCAATAATTGGTATATTATTATCAACAATGTATTATACACTCAAAACACTAGACAAACAATGTACAAACTTCTATTTCAACACCTCCACAAAAGAACATACACGCCAAAGAACCTTCCTCCCAAGAACAGAAAGTTCACCAACATTTACCCCTCAATAGGAATCGGTTTCAGAACCATAAATCTAATATTTAAAATTAGAGTGAACGTGATGAAGACTTTGGAAAATTTAAACAAGATATCCAAGACGAACTTGCTATGTCCTTGCTGTAGTAGAGAGACAATGCAACACATTATTTTTGAATGTAAATACTATAGTGATATAAGAAAAGAAATGTTTAGGAATTTATATAATATCTCAATATATGCAAAGAATAACAGGAAATTCTCCAAACGACTATTGTACCTCATCAAAACTAAGCAAGATATCCATAGCCTAACAGGTGCTAAAGTTGGATTGGGCAAGAAATGGGACAAAGTATTTACCAAGGAAGCTTATCGATCTATTACTAAAATGTGGATGAAACGAAATCATTTTTTCATGGAAGAATTGAAACTCACCTGGAATGAATTTGAACAACAATACGATTTTAATCCCAATTTCATTGATTTGAACAAGTTTAAACTATACATGAAATACCCACGACCATGAATAATAATTGAAAATTACAACAATATTTGAAATTAACACTAACCTTGATGACAAAAACAATAATTGAAATTTACAACAATATTTACACTAACTTTGATGATATGAACTACCTTTAACTGTACTAATTGCACACACAGCCATGAATAACGTTTGAATTTTCGAACAAATAAACGCATGGACAGTGATTATTAAAAAAAAAAAAATGTCTTTAAAAAAGAAAAAGTTATCTCATCAGGATGATAGCTGCTCCATTCAACACCAGCAATTATCATCAGAAAATCATTCCTCCAATAATAATAATAGAAATAACTCTCAGCAGCAGGCTGGACTTGTTTCCGATACTCTGATTCTAATCGGATCATTTATGGAAATTATAGATATCATCAAATCCATGTCGGGAGTTTGTAAATATTGGAATGAAGTATGTGATGGTGATGCTTTATGGAAGGGATTATTCCATAGAGAGTTGGGAAGTGTCGATTGGTTGATTAGCAAATTGAATAAGAATTTGCAGCAGAGTGCTTCTTCGGGTGGTACAGCCAGTATGCACTCTTTCAAAATTTGTCCATTACCCAAATGGAGAGATAAAAACAAGAAGGAGAGAGTACAAGCACCTTCCTATAAGATCATTACACAAAAGCATTTACATTTCAGGAATTATGAAAAACGGTATTTTGGTTTTGACGAAGACTCTGCAGGTGATGATGATGATGACAATGTAGATGATGATGATGATGAGGTTATGAATGGAAATGAAAAGAAAGATGTTGGAGTTTTGAAAAAGTCATCTTTGAAAAGAAGTATTGAGGAAGGTAAACAAACAATTATTTCTTTGGATGTACTTAAAGAGGTTCTTGAAGATTGTTATGGAGTGAATAGATTTTGGTTGAGTTTGTTCAAAGTAGTAGCTGCTATGATCCCAATACAGAGCTATAAATTGATGACTGAAAAACAAATTATTCAACCACTTGACAATGTAACGCCAATGGTGAGTTCAAAGAAGAAGGATGATGATGACGACGATGACGACGATGACGACGAGGATGAAGACTATGATGAAGATGATGAGGCTGATAATCAAAAGGAGGATGATCAATCAGACGAAGAAAAAGAAAAGAAATCTGCAAATCAAAAACCAAAAGACGACTTTTTCAAACGTGATTTCATGTTCAAAGGTAAAAAGAGCGAAGAGGCAACAGAACATCTCATTTCAAAGAATTATTGTTACTTTACAGTGAGATTGGAACAAATATTGGATGTCATTTTTGGAAGTGAGTTGGAAAATGCAACACTTTTACAACAGGCTCTGTATATTGATATCAAAACTCACAAACTTGCTGTCATTTTGAGTATATTTGATAGACATGGAATTGTTTTGAATTATTTCGGATCAGATTCTAATGCAACAGAGAAATACTTGAATAAGATTACAGGACAATTGGCCATTCATGCCCAAAACATTACCAATTATGTTCTTTCAAAGAAGACTCGTCCAGCACTTCCTAGAACTCCCTATGTGACAGAATGTGACACGATGTGTGTTGGTCTTACGAAATCTCATCACACCATTTCCATCTTGAAATTCTGTTACTGTTTTATGTGAACAGGAAGATTCAATTTATCAACCTGATTCAGTTCATCATAACGAGGAAAATATTAAGAAAGCAAATGATGAAGAAGAAGAGAACAATGATGTCAATGACGACAATGATGGTGAAGAACGTGAAAGCGATTTACCACTCTAAAAGAACATTGCTGTTGGTCCCTTTTGACATCCAATATTTGTTCCAATCTAGCTACATTCTGATCATTTTTTATGGTTATCAACCAGGTTATCTAGATACACAGAAACAAAGATTTACATTTGGTGAACGGTTCACTAAAGGTTGTTGTTCACTCGGCACTCTTCACTCCTCCTAAAAACAATTGTTGTTTCAATACGCCACTCTCCTTCTGCATTTGCAAAAGTAATAATTTGAGTCCCTCCACAGAATTTGGTAATCTTTCCAATTCCTCTCTGTCACATTCCTCATCCAAAAAGAAATTCGAAAGTTTATCCAAACGTTTCCTCCCAATAACAACAGGTAATGGATTGGTTTTGAAATAAATTTCTTCGCCATGAACTGCTCGATCTGCCTTGTACATGAAGTTTAATTCCTCCTGTTCAACAGTGTCCCATTGTGGAAGTGGTCTCAATCTGTAGAGTTTGTTTGTTGTTTCAATTTCAAAATCGTCATCCATTCCTTCATATTTATCGAGTGAAATAATTGTTAATTTATCAAGATCGAGTTCTTCATAGGCTGAAAGTGATGACATTGGATTAACAAGAACTCTCTTTTGATGTTGTTGTTTGTTTTGTTCTTTCACATCAGCATTAAGGAATGAATCAATAGTTTCACGATTGTAGTGGAATGGTCTCTTATCTTCATAGTGAGATTTTGATGTGATGTTCCAATTATTTCTTGGTGATTTAACTGTTGTTGAAGAGCCACCTTGTCCACTGCCACTTGTACTTTCTCTAAATGATGTCGATCTTGCTAAGGTGAAGCTTGTGAATTTGCACTTGGTGATAAATCTGAACTAGTCGATAACAAATCTGAATTATCTGAAGTGAATGAGCTATTCGTAGAAGATGGCTTGTTGGAAAGGAAGAGTGGTAGGGAAGGCATGGTATTTGTAGATCCAGGTAATGTAGGAAGACCATATCGAGGAGCATCTGCAACTGGTGACAGAGAACCAACTGGTTTGATAAGAACAATTCTATCCATTTGTGGTGTGGAGAGTGAGGCACCACCAGCAGTCATGAGATATGTTCGGCAGAGGATGCTCTTCTGATCATGATAGATGTTTCTTCCTTGTTGACAGCATTGCTTAAATGTTGTCTCAAACTCACAATGGGATTGTTGGTGAGAGTGGAACCTGAATTGCTACTACCACTTGCAGCAGTGCTTGTAGAAGTTGTGGTATCTGCAAAGGTCACAGTTGGGCTGCTATCATTGTTATTGTTCAAGCTTGATGCAGATACTGATGCAGTAGTGGTGTGGACTGAGATGGTAGCTCGTGTTGATTTTTCTCGGGCACTCATCTCATCAATGTGCGTTCCAAAAGTTTTGATTCCATACTTCTTACATCGAGCGTGTTCCATTTCAATTAGTTCCTTAAGATCCTTCTCCCACTTGATTCTTTCAGTTCCGTTAATGGCTTCAAATTTAAAGGTATAAATGGAACTCTTTAAAAAGGTTCGAATGGTGAAATCCTTTCGTTCATCATCGTTGAGCTCTTCCTCTGTCTTGGCATCGATTTCTGAAAATGTGAAAAATATGAAATGTGTATAATCAACTCTGAGACCTCTATCTGCTGTCATTGGTATGCAAATCATCATGTCATTGCACAGATAGACTTCACAATTTGAATTTAAAAACTTTCTTGAGCATTGAATTCTGAAATCGTCCTTTTTCAAGTATTTTCTATGAGGTGTGACCAAATTAGTGAATCGATTTTTCAAAATTTGTTGTAATCTGAGGAATGAAATATTATTTTCGTCGTGTCGTTTCCTTTCATTCACGAAAAGTGCCAATTCATTCAGTATGGACAATGTTTCAACAATAATGTTCTGGAATGGTTCTCTTCAATAACTCAGCAAAGAGCTTCAATCTAGGAATTCTTTGCACAGGAGTGATTAGCAAACTAGAGTCACACCCTTCTTTTTATAAACACTTTCTACATATTCGTTGAATTTTGGATTTCTTGCTATCAATTCTTCCACTAATTCGTTTGCTTTTTCATAATTATTCACATAGACAGTATACACCTTGAGAAATGGTAAAATCTTCTTGAAAATAGATGGAAAATGATTTTTAGGATAGTGCATCTTAAAGTCCATCTTAAGATCATGCAATAGAGCAGTATTGGTTTTCAAAATTTGCTCAATATTACTAAAGATGGTATTATATTGCTGTTCTGGAGTCATTCCATCACGCAGTACAATATTTGTAGCACTGATATTTGGTCCAGTTTGGTAATTGGTTTAAATTGCAAAATTATTTTTCTTCATAGGTTGGTAATAGTCATAATAGAGTGTTTCCAGTTGGTTCACATAGCTTCTTTCTGTTGACAGAATTTCTTTCAGACAGCTCTGTCTCAATCTTTGTTGTTTAAACTCTGGTGCTGACTTTAGGTAATTTACAAACTTTTTCAATTTCCACCACTCTGTAAAAACACGATAAATGAGTTTTCCTGCCTCTTCAACAGAGAACTTTTTAAATTCTTGATATTGTAATGGTGAAACTCCCGAGAAAATTGTAGCCTTTCTGTTTGTTGATTTACCTCTAGCTCTATCGAGACCGTTGTATGGCTAGCTTTAAATCATAGTCAGCTCCCACATTGACCAATTTACGTGCAGCATGTTGAAGAGTAATGTGATGAGCTTTTTCTTTCTATCCTCAACATTGGGATCGAAATCGAAAAAGCGTGGAAGTTTAGTTCTGTACAATTCCAACTGTTGTTCATCAACATTTGGTTCATAATTTTCCATTTCTGCCAATTCTGAGAATGCCAATAGATCCTCAAGATCAAAATCTTCATTATCAAATGTTTCAACCTTTGAGAATGGAAGAAGAAAATCTGCATCTGTTTCAGTTTCTGAGTCAAATGTTTCCAAATCATCTTCTTGTTCTTGCCATTGATCCCCATTCTCATCTTTTACAATAGTGGCACCATTATCAACAACAGTAACTGTCGTAGAAGGTTCCTCTTTCTTTGTCACTGGTGTGACACTTGGATCCAAGAGTTCATCATTATTTTGTGGAGTAGCAACACTATTTGTTTGCTCCAAAGAGTCAACAGATTTATCCTGTTGTTGCTGTTGAGAATCTGCAGTAGGTTGGACAATTTCAGAAGGCTCTTGTTTTTTGTCCTCTTTTTGTTGTTGCAATATTGTTGCTGAAACTGATGTTGACACTTGTTGAGTGGGTGTCATGGGTGTTGATGATGAAGGTGTTCCACAACTCTTACTGCCCTGATTAAACACCAATTGATCAAACAATGCTGCAGAATCCACAGATGAACGATAGGAATCCAAAATTAAGGCATTACTCGTGTCTTTGGTAGGTTTTAAACTGGTTAAATGGGCTGATTTTCTAGAGCCTGTTGTTGATGACTTGATCTCTCCAATATCCTCTCCACTAACACCATTCTCTGATGATGGAGTTGAGGCTGTCATCAGTCTCATCTGGAATGGCTCCCTTGAATTTATCCACAAGTTTTCTGTCCATAATAAATAATACTGTTGGTACAGATTCAATAATGGCTTGGAAATTTTCTTGTGTTCCATTGACAATACAATCTGAACGATCAGCAACATGTTGTGCTTCCACTTTTTCCGTATCCTCACCTATATTTTCCAAAATCCTGATATAATAATTTTGAATTTAACAAGGAGAGTAGAGAATTAATCGGTATTTGATATCATCATCATGATTGTGAATGATTATAAATTAATATTAGAAATTATCCGATCAACATTATCATTCCGAAAATTCATCATCATATATCATCATCGGAACAAGATTGTAAATAATTAATTCAAAACAAACATAGATCTCTATATTGATCCAACTTACCCGTTGATAAATCAAACCACCGGCCTTGTTAATAATGTACATTGAAAAGACAACCATTTTTTTCTTCTTGAAATATTTCCATAAGACTTTTACAATATTTAAAATAATTAAATACTCTTGTTGTAATGATGATCAAACGAAAATTGTTTGCAAAAAAAGGCTCAACAAGAAAAATCTTTGGTGATTTTTAATATTGCCGTGAACAAGGTACAAGGAACTTGATTACAACAATAAAGGTTGTTGGTTGACACTCCATCTCCAAGAAGTCTGTTTCAACCAAAAAAAATGATTACACAATACACTCCCGAGGTCAATCATGACACAAAGGTCATTACCAATAATAACGATGAGGAAGCTAGTAGCCCGGTAACCATCACACCGGAAATGACCACTTGTTGCGAAATTAAAGTTCCTCAACGCAACAATCCAAAAGCAAAGCCTTTACGTTTTGTCGTTGTTTCCGACACTCATTTAAATCATGAGACGGTGGAGATGCATCAATATACAGGCGATGTTTTGATTCATTGTGGAGATTTTACGAATAAGGGAACCAAAGGAGAAGTGGATTTGTTTTTTCAATATTTATTGGATCAATGCGATGGAAAGTTTAAATACATCATCATGATTGTGGGTGCGTAGAAATAGTGTTTGAATTGAGAGTAGATCAGTATTGAATCATTTATGAATATCAATGCAAAATGTTTAGGCAATCATGAATGGGCTCCAGATATAGTTGTAAGAGTCAGATTTAACAAGTTTTTCAAAGAAAAGAAGGTCAAATCAAGTTATCATCTTTTACTGGATGAACATGTAACGATATTGGATGACAACAATCAAAAGATAAAGATTTTTGGAAGCAGATTTAGAGCATCGTGGAGGTTTCCACCATTGATGAGAGACTCCCTTAGGAAGTCATCCTTTCAAATATCCAAAGACATTGACATGTTATTAACACATTTTCCACCTTGTAAGAATGGACTCGATATTGCACACGATGATGTTTCAAGAGGATCTCCCCAATTAACAGACATGCTCGATTCTAATTATTTTGAGAATTTAAAGATTCATTGTTTTGGTCATAATCATTGCACACGAGGTCATCATTATGAAGAAAAGACTGATCGAATGTTTGTCAATGCAGCATCAACACTTAGTAAGAAAAAAAAGATTGTTGCCAAGCCTTACATTTTTGACTTTTGAAAAAGAGGAACACGATCATGTTGTATCATTTCAATTGAAATTTAACAAGATTCATCTGCGCATTGTACTTTTACCAATTTACATGGCAGAAACGACCTCATCGTACTCCAACAACATGTCAGACCTCTTTTCTCGTCGTCGGTGACGGCCAATGTTATCCCAGAGCTTGAGAATCACAGCACAGTCACCACAGAACCGTGTTGAACTCTGGATTGCCTGTGTGAACAAAAAAGGAGAAAATGAAGTGGCTCTATTTCGCAAGTGCGTATCCTTCTCCTATCAAATTCAGGTCCAATTTTTTCCCTTTTTCGAAGAAGGATGCTGCGTGGGACACCAAAAAAACAAATCCATTCCTCCACACGGTATGTTGTGAATAACATCTCAACACTCGCTCCCTTCTCACACTCGGATACAACGTTGTTGCATCTCTCTAATATTCGCATCCACAACATGCAATATCAATGATGCCTTTAATGTATCACTGCCAAAATAGCACTCTATTTGCCGGTGCACTTTTCCGACTCCAAAATTGGACCTTCATTACTCGTGTCATAGAAATTCGCTCAACGTGGTAATAATTATTATTAAACCACTACCGTGCGTTTTGCTTTTTAAAAAAGAAAACCTCGACCACCTACAAACACTTTGTTAGATAAACAACACACTTGTTCTCGTGGAGACACGCAAAAGAACTTTCAATTCCCTTGTAATTTCTACAATGAAGAACAATTTCATCAGGTCACCTGCCACTTGTCACCCTGATTCCATGTCCTACCATCATCAACAGACCTTTTCATCAAAATATTCATCCAATTCATCCACATCTTCCATCCTGCCAATACCATCCAACACGCCCAAATTAGTCAAGTCTATTTGCTCCTCGACGGAATCGACAACCAAAGAAATTTTTTCACACATCCTCCACCAATCAAACAACCATGTAAATACCCTCCATTTCACACCCAAAGAATGGTCACAACTTCTATTCAAAGCCATACAATTCGGAGACGAAAATGTGGTTCGGGCCCTTCTCGAATGGGGAGATTACGAAAATCAAAGAATCCTTCAACAACTTTCACATTCATGTAAAAACGCCAAGTCCACTCTCTCAAATTTACCTTACAGTTTGGAAAGTGGTGATGAGCAATCGTACGGAGCCACTGCTCTCCATAAAGCATGTTCCCTTAATCGACCGCAAATTGTGAGCATGCTGTTACAGAGAAATGATGTGAGTCGATGTGTGAAAGATCACTCACAGTCCACACCAATGCATTATGCAGCATCGAATGGTTCGTTGGAATGTGTCATGCTCTTGTTAATGAAAGGAGTGAATGCCTCAGAAGGCAATTTTCGAAGAAATGTCAATGACGATCAATTAATGTTAGATTCTAAGGATGCTTACGGAAATACTCCTATTCATTTAGCAATGAAGCACAAACACTATCAAGTGGTCTCTGCATTGCTAGACTATTGTCCTAATTTGGTGAATTCGAGAAGAAGTAACTCACGAACGTTGCTGCACATGGTGGTTGAAAATTTTGATGTGACAGGATTGTCACTCATTACAAAGGAACATGCACAAGCCTTGTCCAAAATTCAAATCTATGCCAAAGATGAAAATGGTTTAACGCCACTCATGCTTTTGGTTAAGGAATTTTCAAGACTCACTGAAAATTCACATCTTCGAAAAAAGAACCGCTTTTCAATGCTCCTCCACCTTCTCTCCCTGTACGACTTGTCAGAAATGTCACTTGTAAATAGACACAATGACCATCATTGCAAGAATTTATTTCACATTGCTTGTCTCCATAACTGTGCAGATGTGGTTCGAATCATGGCCCTGTTCCTTAATCGAGAACTTTATTTAAACATGCTTAAACAATGCGATAAGAATGGCCAAAATCCATTTCACACAGCTTGTAAATATGGAGCAGATCAAGTGTTGGAAACATTCATGCTGATGGTCCATAGTGAAACAGCAGACCACTCCAAAATTGTACAATCAAAATCAAAACATTGTAATATTAACTCTCGTGAAGAATATTTAGAATGTAAGGATAAGGAAGGTAATACACCATTGCATGTAGCTGCCTTATCGTTAGCTCTTGTGTCACCTGCCTCCAATGAAGAAGATGACGACTCTCCTTCGCCACGCGGCGTCTCTTTCAGCGCCAGTTGTTCAGATTTACCCTCGACCTCTACTGTGACAAGCACTCGATCAAATAGTGCTCTTTCATTTCCAGTGACGTTTGGAAAGGCGAACTCTGAGTCTTGTATTGCCAAGTTTTCAAAAAGTTCCTATTCACCACTCAGCATGACACCTTCGGATGAGGATGTAACAAGTACATTTGTACGATGTATTGAGGTACTGTTTCCAGTGGTGAGTTTAGACATTGAAAATTCCAAAAAACATACCGTGCTGGAATTGTTAAATAAGACAATCTTTTTCGAGAATTCCAGTATTTTCTCAACTTCAATACAACACTAAATCCCATAGAAAAATTAAAAATCACATCAATTTCTTGTTCATGGTTCCAATTCGATCATAATTATGAGCAACGAGAGCTTTGGCAAAAATTTCACCTAAATCTTCAAAACCCTGATTACAAAAAGCACTCGTTTCAATATAAGTGACACATCCCAATGCTCTAGCCAATGACTCACCCATCTTGCTTGACAAAGGTTCCCAAAAATGTTTCATTCTTAAACCTCTGCAAATGTCCTTTCGGGATCTCAAATCTGTTTTGCAAGCCACTAAAATGATTGGAATTTGAGGCTTTCTCTTTTCTTGAAGGTCTGAGATCCATTGATAAAGATCTTTGACATTGTTTTCATCTAAAACATTGAAACAAAGACAAATAAGATGAGCGTTGGTACAAACTGCGGTTCTTGCCAAAAATTTTCTGAGATTTTCAATGTTTCACTTGCAATTCATAATTTTCCATTATAGTTACTTACAAACCTGGTATGTCTAACATTTGAAAGGTGGCATCTTGATACTGAATTTTAACTTGACCAGTCGTGAGTGTGAATACTCCAAACTTGCCATGTGGATCAACAAATGAAGATTTTCCAGCTCTCTTATCACCAATTACAGCCACTCGAAACAATAATTTTTCATCCATAGTTTTCAATGAATTCATCAAATTCGAAAATTCGAACTGTTGTTTCAATTCATGGCTTGAATAAAATTGACAAAGATTACAAAATTTTGGAATCATGTCCTTGTACGAGACCATGATTGTACTTTCGAATTCTTTCATTTGTCGATGTGTACAACTTTCGACATGTTTCATCAATTCAATTAAATGATATCGAAAATTACTTGACATCTGACATTGATCACTAAAATAGTTTGGAATCACATCATGGTTCCGATCTTCATGAGGAACACAATAAAGACGTAACAATTTCATTTCATATTTAAATATTTCCATTCTTTGAAAATAATAATCTTTCCAACAACAATCTTCGCAAGCAAGTTGCGATAATCGGAATGATACGAGTTGTAATGTTGTGAAATCATGAATCGAGAGAAAGCTTAAAATAATTCGTAACACATCATCGCATAAATATTGTTGAAACAGAGAGTGTAATGGTTTGGAAGAGGAGGAGAAGGATGAAGAGGAGTGAAATAAGGTACGAAAGATTTTTCTAACAAGTAACATTTTTTTCAATATTAATTAATCACAAATTCGAACATTTTAAAAAGAGAGTTTATCATTCTGAAACTAAAAATTCCTTTTCCTTTGAATTTGCATTTTGGTCACGACCTCCAAAAATCACTATTGAACAACATTTTAGAGAATTTCACACTCTTCCTTCTCATTTTCCATTATTATTTGACACTCTTCCTTCTCATTTTCGAAAATAAACGAAAGAATAGAAACCGTTGAGGACTCCAAAAATAGAGAATGTCAAATTGTTGAGCACGAAAAAAACGTTTAAAACCGTTCTTTCTTAACGCTGTGGTTGGATGAACCTCGGGTTTTAATTTACACTTTCAACATGAGATTATTTCTACGATAAAGTCTTATTCGATGGAACTGAAATGAATCCGGTAACGCTTTGACCATTTCACAGAGCCGTCTTTGCAGTATACGCACGCTTAACCACTGTTGTTTAAGGAACGAAAGGGTGGCACTTGTCATTGAGCGTTGTGACATCATTTGTAAATGCGTTCGAGTGGTGCTATACCCCGAGATTAAACCTTTACATGCAAGATAAAACAAGCAAAGTACTATAGATCTTTCATGGTTTCATTTCGGCAGATCTCTTCTTTTCTGTCGTTCCACATTTTTATAAACATTCATTTCACTTTTCTTTCCATTTTTGGATCGATTCATATTTATGTCCATGACTCATTCATATGACATTCCACTCTTTAAGAAATAATCCTGGCTCATCCCAACCAAGCAACCCACTGCACTATCTCTTTCTCTCATTCTTCTTCTTTTCTGTGAAAAATCTATAAATTGGCATTCACAATTTCCTCTCTCTCACTTTTCACATAACAAAAAAAAAATCCAATTATTGAAATGAAAACCGCAACTCTTGTGGTGCTGTTTGCACTTCTCCTCTTTGCAGCAGTCTACGTTGCAGGATCTGACTCTTACCGTCCTGATCCTTACAAACCTAAACCTCGAAGACATTGTCGCAAAAAGTGTGTCTTGCACAAGTATTTGAGAGGAAAATGTCTCAAACACAAAGTCGTGGGTCGTAAAAAGTTTTGCGACAAGTATGCCATCGTTGGAAAGGGTCGTTGTTTGAAGCACAAGAGATGGTCCAAGTGTGATAAATACAGTAAGGCCTTTACCAAGTGTGTGAAACACAAATTCAAGAAATTCTGTGCCAAGAGAAAGACCAAGAAGGTTTGCGATTCTTATGGAAAACGTAAATTCTGTAAGAAATATGGATACAAGAAATTCTGTGCAAGACACAAGAAGTACAAAAAGTGTGTGGCTCATGGCAAGAAACGTATTTGTAAGAAACACAAGAAATTCCCAATTAAGAAATGTTTCAAGAAGAAGAAGTGTGACAAGTATGTCGATTCCTATGCTCCACGTAAATGTCGTTTCATTCGTAAATGCCGTGTCGTTTCACACAAGACTAAATGTGTTCGACACAAGACCATTCGTTTCTGTAAGAGACACAAGAAGTTCACAAAATGTGTGAAACACAAGAAGAGAAAATTCTGTGCTAAATGGGCATTCAAACAATTCTGTAAGAAACACAAGAAGATTACAAGATGTGTCAAACATAAGAAGAGAAGATTCTGTGCCAAGAGAAAACACTTCCCATCCAAATGTATTCGTAGAAAGAATTTCAAGAAGTGCATCAAGAGATCCAAAGGAAGAAGAGTTTGTAAAAAGTTCAAATTCACCAAAGGAAAGAGAGTGTGTAAGAAACGTGCTAAATCCAGAAGAGTTTGTGCCAAGACTAAGAAGATCTGTAAGAGAAGAAAGCACAAAAAGTTTGATCTTTACAAGTAAGAGTTGCAAAACTGCAATTTTTCCGTACAGCAATGGTAACGAGTTTTTTTTGCCTTAACATGAGTTTGTGTGAAAGAGTTTTTTGAATTGATCCAAAGACGAAAGTCAAAAATCATCCGAAAAATTAAATAATCTTGTGAGGTGTTTTTAAAAGTCTTTCATTGTATTAATTAACAGATACCGTGATAAGATCAATGGTTTCTTTCAAATGTCATATCGCATATTCCACTGTGCTAACATCGCCCTTCCCTCATGAGAAACAAGCTTTTCCAGTTCCAAGCAGTGTCCTCGTCAAGTGGATCCCAACTGCCGACATGTTACTACTAAACTGCACCAAGTTAGAAATCAAAGAAATGTTAGAACAAGCAACATCATCCATTCTAGCTCCCTCATGGAAGCTCTTCATCTCAATCCTCCTTCGACTCGTCATGACTTGTTTCATCATTGGAGAGTTTGTGCCACTACCCATTTCAAACAACAATTACATCAAAACGTTATACTTGTTTATTGCATGGGGCGTGTCGTTTCAATTTGACATTCGTGTGTATGAATTGTGTTTTTGCATGTGTGTCAATGTCTTGTTCATTGCACTCAATTACAATGCCTTGTCGAAAGGAATCTTTCAATTCACTTCACAAGATTTCTTGTTGCAGCCGGTGTGGGAATTTTTCATGTGGGGATTCTATGTGTTGCATGCCATGAGAAGTTTGGGAGATTGTTCGTGCTCGAGTGTGAGACCAAAGAAGCGAGAAATTCTTATCATTGGAGTGTCGTTGTTGGCTTTTTCGAGTGTTTTTGGAATTTTTGACAACATGTGGGTGTTATCGAGCATGTCGTGTTTGGTGGTGTTCATATGCAAGTGCTTGTTATCGATGGACGACGACAACAATACTGTATCATCATCTCCACACAAGGATGTAAAGTTTGTCGTGTTTTTCATGGTCATGGGATTGTGTATTGAATGGACTGGTGTGTCAAGAGGTCAATGGAAATACCCACAGAATCAATTGATCTGGGAGAATTTTCCAATTCCATTGTGGTTCGTTGGCATGTGGGGAGGAATTGGATTCTTTCTGTATCGAGCCGCTTTGCCTTTAATGTGGTGGGTGGTTCGTTTGTTGCAGAAACCTAAAAACAAGCCACCTCAATGATGATAACAACAGAGAGCATGGTGTACTCATAATAATAATAAATGGATTCAATAAATTACATTTACTTTTTCTTTGCAAAGTCCTTTGGAATCATACATTTGATGAGGAGGGATTTTGTTATTTGATACAAAAAGATGTCACCCAATATATCTCGGTGTGACTTCTTTTTAAACACCACTTTGGCATACTTGGTGAAAATCTTCTTCTCCTTATTATCATTTTGCAGCACCTTTGGAGTTTCATATTCTTTTTGAGCTTCACCAAGCGATGAAGTGGTTGGTTCTTCGAGTTCCTCTTCATCAATTTGTTCCTCAACCATCCAGTCATTCATTGAATCAATGTATGAAACTTCCTCAGTTGGGAATCCAATTTCATTCTCAATGATTGTTTTAAGTTCATCTTCAGTTGGAATGTTCTCCTTTGGTACAGCTTTCTTAAATTGATTTCTAAAGCTAATAATCACAGTTCTATCTCTTAAATAGGTGGTTTCGCTGTAGAGAGAATTTAACAACCTGTCACGCTCTGAAGGTGGTACAGATTTTCCATTCTCAAAGCACAAGGTAAATTTTTCCCATGCAGCCAAATTGGTTGATTTGTTTCGTTGGCAAATGTTATTGGCCTTTCTACAAGACAAGTAATATTGATCCAACTGATTGCAAACCACTCTCTTCAATCCAATATCTTCACCAATTCGAACTGGGAAGTTTTGCAACTCTTCATTGGGAAGAGTCTTGATTGCAGAGACTGCAATTGGTTCAGAATTTTGATGATCACCATCACTGACAAATCCCAATTGAGGGAAGTTTGCATTCATAATGAGATACTTTCCACAACTCTCCTTTTTTTGATCTTGATCTCTCACAAAGTAAATGTGAACAATTTGACCGTAACAAACTGGACTATTCTTGCTCACTTTGCTATTAGCAGGTTGCATGATAAACACTCCATAGTGAGAAGGCGATGAAGCATTTTCGTAGACTGTCTTGATGTAGTCTTTCACAGTGGAAGCATCAATATGAGAGACAGCTCCCATGAGTGCACCACCCGATGGCTTTACCGAGGTACTCTGAACATCAGAGGCAGAAATTTGAACAAAGGCATTCAGAAACGTCTTGGCTGAATATTCATGAGTATTGAAAGTGAGCATTCTTCCGTGAACAGATTTCATGGTGAATGGTCTTCCATAGGTGAGAATGAGTTCATCCGATGAACTTGTATTACCTTCCAATAGACGCATAATGATGATGATAGTGGTTGATCTATTTAATAGTTAGAACGATGATGATGAGTGTGAGTCTGTGGGGCTCAGTGTTGGATGAGAGAAGGAATGAATCAAAAAAGATGATCTAACAACAGAAATTGTTCAATTTTCTTGAGTGTTGGATGGGGGTCGACGACGGTTAGAGGAAGAACCAATGTTGATGAATTTTTTTTTTTGAAAGCTCTGCTTTGGGAAACACTTGTTGAACCTTCGATCTCCACTTTGATGTAATACTGCAGCCTATCTGAACCAGAAACACATTTGCATCTAATGAAACAGAACAGATTTTAGTGCACTTGCGAATTTATTAAGGGATGTATTTTGTGCCAATCATAAAATGAAATGTTAATAATGGATGAATGAATTGTGGCCACAATCACCAACGCGGAACATGTCTGAACATGACGTCGTTTGAAACAGTCGTTGCCTTTTCTCATTCTTTCGTGACGAATAAAAAGAAAAAAATGATTGACCAACCAACGTCACACCCTCAAGTGAGGTTGATGTTAGTGTCACTTCATACTGTTCAACATGATTTAGACACCTCCTCCTACAACATGACCAAAACATCTGTTATTGATGAAAATTTATTGAAAAAGTTGAAAATGAAGCTACTTGAAACTAAGAGAACGATCACAGCCAAACCATTCATTCCGTTCAATACCCGAGTTAAAGATACTTTTGAAATTAGCTCCTCAGGCAATATCTATCCATGTCATATTGTTTCTCCGTTTGATGTAAAGATTTCATATTCAAACGAATATATTTTGGTGAGCGATCCAAAGTATTCATGGTCCCGCAGTTGGACTATCAAAGTTTTCGATTTAACCACAAGACTCTATCTCAAAACTATTGATACCTCATGTAAAGATCCTCCATATATATGTGTAGAAGAGAGACCATTTCTCGAAGATTCAGGTCACTCGAGTGATGCCTTAATTTGTACACAAGCGTTGTCTGAAGGAGAACTTGAACAAGGACTTTACAAATTCAATTTGAAACAATTGGTTGAAAATGAGGATGGACAAAAGAAGCCCATTTGGTTCGTGGATGTTGGTAAACAACATGTTGGAAGTATGACTACCTTTGATCATCGTCTGTATATCGTGCTTCACCATGTCACCATTCAAATGTTCAATTCGAAAACAGGAGAATCACTTGCCACAATTTTTGGAGATCCTTCTCCTCAATCATCTATCGCAGATCCACCACAATTGGTTGGACTCGAAGTGAATGTTCACACTCGAGAGTTAATGGCTTGCAATCGTGCACAACTTTTATTCTTTTCACTTGACCAACATTCCAAAGGACTCGAAAGAGAAACACCAAAAACATACATTAGTGGTGATTCTTTCTCATACTCACAATGGTGCTTCTATGATCGTGCCTCAAAGAATATTCTTTTAGGTGGGAGATGTTTTAAAAAAGACATTCAAGTGATTCATGCAGAGTCCATGACAAGTATTGCCAAAGTGAATGTGGGACATTCATGGATAAGTGATACTATGAAAGGTATGTGTGTGAATGAAAGGACTGGAGAGTTGCTGTTGATTGAGGGAACTCAGATCCTTGTAATTGCTGGAAATAATGACAGCACGGAACCACCTCAGAAACAACTGGTTCCAATTGCACAACAAGATTTCTACAGAACTTTCATGGAGTATTCAAGTTCGAGACAAGTGTTGGAATCAAGAACAGTAATTACTGATCAAAATTCAGATGAAACCAACTGTTCGAATGTTTCAACCAACAGCAGTTCTTACTTGAATTTGTGTATTGTGCTATAATTTTTTGATTTTAAAGTAGTAATTACGAACAGTATGAATTAGATGCTTTCACAAAAAAAGTCAGATTCTCAACAGAAGGAAACAAACTCTCAAGTCAAGTTGTTCATCATTTCACTTCATGACAACAATCATGATTCATCATCCATACTGGACTCGGGCATTGCACAACAATTGTTTGAAAAATTAAAATTGAAAATGACAAGTGTCAGATAGTTTAATGCCAAACCATTCATGTACAATTGTTGATACTTTGAAAATTAGCAAACCGTTTGATGTCAAAATCTCAAAGACCAATCGATATATTTTGGTCAGTGATTTTAATTCACACTCCATATTACGATATGGCCAAATTTTTGATTTAACCACAAGACTCTTTCTCAAACAAGTGGGACCCTATTGCAATGACCCTCAATATTTATGTGTCGAAGTTGAATCCCAATATCTTGAAGAATCATGTTGTTATAAGAGTGATGCATTGATTTTTTCACACACCCTCTACACTATAGACAGTACCCAACGACTTTCAAAATTTAATTTACATCAATTGGTCGAGCAAGACGAGGACGATGTTAGAAAAACAACCACACCCATTTGGGAAATTGAGTTGGGTAACGGATTTATTAATGGAATTGTCAGTGTGGACTCTCGAATCTATGTCCCGTTCAATGCTTCGATTCAAATCTTGAATTCGAAAACGGGAGATAAACTTGACACCATATACCTCTCCACTCTATGGAATGCATGTCAATTCTCAAACGAAAGAATTATTTACTTGTGCTGATTATCAAATAATTTTCTTGAAGAGAAATTCAAAATGAAGAGTATGAAGTGGATTCTCAAAAATTGTACAAGGCAAATTTCTTAAGAGCCTGTTGGTATGATCGTGCTTCAAAGAATATCATTTTGAGTGCCTATTTCAACTCGCATGATTGTCATGTGATTCATTCAGAATCCACAAAGCTCATTTCCAAATTTGAAGGCCCACCTTTGTTTCATAGACCTTTTGGTTTGTGTGTGAATGAAATTAGTGGGGAGTTGCTGTAATGTGATCGCACGGCAGAAACAGTAAAAAATAATCTTTGGAAAGGAAACAACATGGACAGTAGATGAAACAAATAGTCGTGAAATTTCAAGTGACACCAAACTGTGTCAATTACAATGAGAGTATTTTCAAACTTTGTTTTATCCTCTAGTTCTTGCGACAGACAGGTCATTTGGTCATTTGGGATCCAACCAGAGGTTATCAATATTCAAGCCATTCACTGAACAACGCCTTCATTGATTTCACCCTCCAAATTCGTAAATTAAACATTAATTATAAAAATCAAAAAAAAAATATTTCATCACCGACATGAAACCTAGTCCGTACTCACCTACCAACAACAAGAAGAGAAAACTCTCAATAATACCATCATCCAATAATTTAGCAATCTCTGTTGAATCAATGATGAATACAAACAATAATTACAACAACATTATCAATGAACCATTTATTGATGATATTATTTTTGAAATTCTTCATTTCTTGGATTCATTGTTTATTATTCAAGTTTGTATGAAAATTTCAAAACAATGGAGACAAATATCAATTCAAATTCCTTTGTCATTGTCTTTGAACAAACACTCTGAACAAGATTCTCTTGAACGAATTAAATATATTGCTAATAGCGAGTGCTTGAAGAATTTGACTTCTTTGCGTCTATATCGCAACCATTTTGGCGATGAAGATATTAAATACATTACCAACAGCAAATATTTGAAAAATTTAACTTGTTTGGATCTTAGTGACAACAAAATCGGCGATGAAGGTATCAAATACATTTCTAATAGCGAATCTTTGAAAAATTTGACTTCTTTGGGCCTAAATTACAGCTATTTTGGAGATGAAGGGGTCAAATATATTTCAAATAGCGAATATTTGAAAAATTTGACTTCTTTGGATCTTAGTGAAAACGGAATTGAATGTGTCAAATACATTGCTAATAGTGAATGCTTGAAGAAACTGACTTTCTTGGATCTTAGTGACAACCAAATCGGCAATGAAGGTGTTAAATATATTGCCAATAGCGAATGTTTGAATAATTTGACTTCTTTGCGTTTATGCAGCAACAACATTGGCATTGAAGGCATTAAATATATTGCTAATCATGAATGTTTGAAAAACTGGACTTTGTTAGACCTAAGCGAAAACGAAATCGGCGATGAAGGTGTCAAATACATTGCTAACAGCAAATATTCGCAGAATCTGACTTCGTTGGATCTGAGAAGGGACAACATTGAGAGTACAGGAGCAAATTATATTGCTAATAGCAAATATTTGAAGAATTTGACTTCTTTGAATCTGAATGGTAACAGAATTTTGAATGAAGGGGTCAAATATATTGCTGAAAGTGAACATTTGAAGAGGTTGAGGGTTTTAGATCTTAGTTTCAACCGAATTGACAATAGAGGGATCCAATATATCGCTAATGGTGGAAGTTTGAAGAATTTAACTTCCTTGAAGCTACGTGACAACGAAATTGATTATGAAGGTTTAATTGCAGAGAATGTCTATCTGAAGAATATTGTTTACTTGGACTCATGAAGATTAAAACGAATGGCTTGAATATTGCTAATATAATCATCAAATAATCGTTCTCAATCCAACCTACAAATCACAATTGAGCGTTCATAAATACTTGGCCGAATTCATTTATTACATTAATTTTTCATGTTAAAGATAGGCAGATTCCTTTCACAATCATTGGAGGAATTAAGAAACCGTTTCCTTGTTGACACATTGGAGAGCTGTTTTGTCGTAATCAAACAAGACAAGGGGATAAATAGCTCAACATTTTGCAGAGACTTGGAAAAAGTGCAATTTCAAAAAAAAAATGAAAATGTAGGTTTTGGATGTTCATTCCTATTTTTTTTAAAATTAGTTTTATCCTAACCATGTGATGATGATGATTCTAACGCAATGTCGATCAATGATACACTTGTGGCCTGAAAATAATAACAATCCGATGATTCCAAACACAAAAACTAATTTTAATCTAATTTTAAAAACAATTTGCTAATTTTTATCACTTCCGGACTTTATATCAATTAGATTAAAAGTAGATGAGTATCCGTTGACCAATTTCGAGGTGAAACAAGTAGTGGAACAACATTTTGAATTTCGGAAGGAAAAATTTGGAGTGAGAGAATTTAATTTTAAAAGAAATCGAGATCCCTTGCTGGATTTTGAATGTCGTTTATTGTATTATTTTGACAAGCAAACAACAGTGAAATATCAAAGTGAAGAAACGATTCGAAATTTACTTAAAGAGTTGGAGCCTTATCGGTTAACCAAGTTGGAAAAGATGCTAATGGTGAATAATCCTCCATCGTCACTTGTTGAAATTCACTCGGTATGTTTCAGGTGTGATTTTAACGTATTTGCGAGGAAATTATTAATTGGGCAACATGGTCAAACACCCATTGAAAATGACATTCCAATTTTGAAAAGATTATTGATAGCTGTGAATCACGATACAATGAGGATGATATTGTGAAAATGCTAGAAATTATTAAGGCTAATTTATTGAAAACACCAACAACATCTTCTGTATCTACGGATATATCTGAGAAGAAATCCAAGAAAGACAAGAAAAATAAGGCTGGAGATAGAACCACTTGGTATGAATTTATTTCAAACATTGACGCCACAAGAATGAAAAAGCAAGAAGCTCAAAACAAACAAAAAGAACAATCTAAGGAAACAACTAGTGCAGCTAACAAGACAAGCAAGAAAAACGACATGATGGATATTCTGTAAACCAAAAGCACCAAATATACCAATTTATTCGGAAGAAAGTAGCTGTGTGTACTATCTTTCGGTTTGCCACGAAAGTAAATCACGAATATAAGGCGAATCAATCTCTGAAATTTTCAAGCTCTCAATGGCTTTTGCAAGAACTTTCCAAGCCTCTCTCTTTTGTTTCTCTACTGTCTCAATCTTTCCATTCTTGTCTAATAGATTCAAATCAAACAGCTCTTTCAACGAGACACACAACGACCTAAATACTTGTTTGTTTTTGGTCTCTTCAGGAATTTGCTCGATCAGCTCATCTAAGAAAATGAATGGCACACGCACCGCTCGTTCCAGATTGTGAAAATTGTTGAAAAATATGGTTTCATCCTCCTTCTTAATCATGGGGAAAACAATTCCCGAATTGAAATAGGTGGAAAAGTGTGAAAATTCGTAGGTTTTCATTCCTGTCACTTCGAGAATTTCTCGACCCGAAATGGTGCTCACAATAATTTTTTCAATTTGGTTGTCTGTATTTTTCCTAGCCAATTCTGTAAAATTGTACTGATTTGCCTTGAGCTCATATTTTGTTCTTTCAATAGCATATTGAAAATTGCAAAAATCCTTATGCAAATAATGTACAGACGCAATGAACAATAAGAAATATTCTAGAGCCAGTGGATGGCCCCCAATCATGCTTAGTGCTGTTGTTAAAGATTTAGAACTTCTCCAATTGGCCTTGTCAATAAAATGGCCATTTCCATTTTCATCTTCAATGACAATGTGGCCCTTCTTTTCAAACATATTGTCCATTATTTGTTCTACTTGTTCTTTCGAGAGAAGCGGAAATTGTGACGTGGTAAAAGTTTCGTTTTTTTGGTATGAACTACCTGCATAGGTGGATCGAGTGGGACCTAGCTTATGAACCCACTCATTAACCATTCCTTCAATATTTGTACCAATCATGATAGGTGCATAGATTGTATTGGTTCTGTCCTTAAATATTGCAGGTAGATCGTTAAATACTCGAAGTAAAAAGCTAAATGGTTTTAGAGTGTAATTCTGCATGGTGTATCGCAACAACTCGTCACAATCATCCAGAATCATGAAAAGATATAATTCTTCGTCACTATTCAAGCGAGAGTCGTATCTAATAATTTCGGTAGCCAAGCTAATATCTTCAGGAATAAAGTGAAAGCAATGATCCAGAAAATGTCGATATGGCATAACCAAAGGCTTTTCAATCACTTGTGTAAAATATGAATAAAGCATTCTGGCTGTAATCAACTTTTTTGATTGATCATAATTTAAGAGCTCTTGTGCCCCAAACATCTCCTCTTCCTCCTCTAAAGGACACATATTCAAAAACGGTAAATACAAGTACATGATTTTCTTAAATTGGTGTCTATATTCTTGTGCGCACATTTCCACAGCTTCGATGGTATTTCTTGTTCGACCAGTGCCTTTTCCTCCCGTTACAAAGAATGCAAAAGCATCTGCATTCTTGGCTCCAACGGATGGCTGTTTGTTCACCTTCTCCAATCCATCTTCAATATATGATCTTAATTTGGTGAGGAAAAACGGATGAGGTTGATATTTCATCACATCAGACATGTTTAATTGCATGACTAGATTCTCAGCAGCGCTTGGAATGGCTGATATTTTCTCAATTTGCTCTTCTTCAATGGGATTGGAAGAAGGCTGTTCAAAGTATCTTCTTAAACCTTCGGAAAAAGTTTTGGCATTGAATGAAAATGTTGATAATCCTTCATCCATTGTGGATTGCCTTGAGGAGGACGCTGGTCTTCGTGTAATATTGGTTAAACTGATATGATAGGATCGTTTCCGATGTATATTTTTTGTTTCCAACAAACCATTCCCAATTTGATTATTTTGGATGAGGTGGTCATGATGATGATCTGAATGTGATGATGAATTGCCATAAAGTCTACATGTTGGTTTTCCCGTGTTGATGCCATGACAATAAGTATGGTGAGAGGCATCCGAGCAACGATGATGATTCAAAGCAATTATTTGAGCATGTCTTTTCATTTTTAATGTTAAATGTTTGGGAGGGAATTCACAAGCTTGTATGTGGACATGAAAATGTTCCATGATTTTGATTGAGTTTTAATCTTACAAAAGAAGAGTGTTGTTTTGTAAGAACATGTTAAACTTGTTGTTTACATTCATCATTAAACTGGTAAATGTAATTTGGGAAGGGTCATGACATCAGCGAGGTGCGTCTTGCAAGGAAACGTAATCTTAGGTGTGAAAAAACACTTCACCGTTGTTGCATTGGCTTAGACTCGAGTTGATCAACCGAGGTACTGTCGAATGATACAGACTTGGTGGCGTGCGTTCGTGGCAAAAGTGTTGTGGAATTTGATAAAACCACCATGTTAAACGAAAAATCTTCAAGCTTCGGTTTTGCACTGATTCTTTTTCTTGTGACCAACACGGCCAAATCTAATACTTGGTCTCCTTCTTGCATGCACGCTTGTATGACCAAATGATTCTTCTGTGTGTGTTGTAAGTTTGAAAAAAACTGTCCACCTTGAAAGTTTAACAATTTCGTGAGGATAGTTTTTTGTTGCTCTGGGGTTTTGGAGATGACAACTTTCTTGTATCTTCTCTTGTATTGTGTGACATACTTTTTAAATTGTTCCTTGTACATTTGATGTTTGAATGCTGAATTATCTTCCATACTGAGTGGAGAATTAGAGTTAGAGTCAAATGTTGGTAGATTGTGTAAGGTACAGGTTTGAATCTTATTTGGGTCATCAGAAGAAGCGCTCGATCGAAGGCTCTCCTTGCTGCCGTTGTGAGTGGAGAGCGGAGATTGTGGCATTTCGCCTGAAATGATTCCAATATTTGACGTTGAATTTGTGATGATCTGCTTTTTGAAATTTTCGTGTGTTGTGGAGGACATTATCGGAGGCAAGCCACTCCGTAAATCGCTGTCTGAATACACTTGTTTCCTTTCCTGATGGTTTGCTGTTGTGCGTGGTAGATTGAACAGTTGAAGCGAGGACAATGGAGGTAAAATGGTTGATGATGATGGTGGTGTTGGATCGTGGGATGATGAGGAATGCACGTTACTTGTTATGGTCATTGTGGAACCTGTTGTTGTTGTCGTAGTTTTGAAATTATTGCTCATGGGTGTTATTGATGATATGGAAGGCTGTTTCATTTCCTCGTTACTGATACTAGTATTTTCAACTGAGTGTTGTTCACGATTATGTTGATTATTATTATTGCTATTACTATTGTTATTATTAACGCTTGTATTTGATGATGTCTCCGGTGGTGTTTTTGAATTACAATCCGAATCGGTGCTCATAGTGTTTCTTCCAACTACTACAGGAGGATCTAATCATGAATGAAATAATACCATACACTCTCTCTTCCGAATGCTCTCAAGTAAAAGAACAAGTCAATCAAATTTTCTTGTTTCGGTAAATCAGTGGCCGTTGGTTCGAAGAATGGGTGAACGGAGAAGAAGTGGGATGTTTTTTTGCTCTTTTTCGAAACGGGCACTGGGTACAAATTTGGAACCGTCAGCTGCTTTGGACTTTGGGTTGCACTTGTGTGTTGGCAAATGATGTCAAAGGTCATGCTCGTAACTTGATTACTTATCAAAATCAAGCTGGTAATCAAGGCAGTGTAAATACTGACTTTCATTTATCGTAAACAATTGCGTTCCTCTTTCTATAGCGATGTGTTTGTGACACAAATGTCATCCTTAATGTCGAATACAACACCTGTGTCCATCACTCTTCCCGCTCGTCAATTCAATGTGGTTAATCAAAAAGTATGTGTATTCTTTAGTTTCAGATCATAAAAACCAAGCATTTCGGTCGAGTCACAAAAAATCGATGACACTCCCTTTATAATTGTTTATTTTCAAATACTACTGCATGACTATTCGTAGAATTGGTTGAAGTTTGTTCAGCCAAATACAATTGATGATTCTTGATGTACTCAGCTACCTTGTCAGCAACATAATACTTGATCGAGTGATTTCTTCTGACAAGTTGTCTCACTTTTGTTGAGCTCACATCATTGATAATCCATTCTGGTATGACATGAATGTTTTTTCTGTGTTTGTACAAAACATCGTGTTCAAAAATTATTTTCGAAATTGAAATTCCATCTCTTTCAATACAACACACACCATATGTTGAAAGAATATATTCCACTTGTTCTGGAATCCAAACACCTGGTTTCACAAAAGATTCTAATAAATCAGCTCCACACAATAACATGATTCTCACTTGATGTTGCAAACAACTCTCAGGAGAATAAAGCTTTTCAATTTCCTCGGTGAAATGTTTTAACACAAATAAAGTTCGACTGTATTCGTTTTGATTCACTTCCCACAAATCAATATCCACCCAATCCGAATCAGAGACAGCCAATTTACACATTTCCACTCGATGATGAGCCTCTATAAGTGTTGGCTTTCTTTTAGCATAGTCCTGATGAACTGGAGAGATGAAACCTCCCAATACGGAGAGCTTTTCTTCGTTTTGGAGATAGTCCCGAGCTGTTTCAAACATTCGGAGGTGTGAATTGGTGATAGGATTGAAACTTCCACATGCAATGAGGATGATTGATCCGTTGTTGTTGGCTGTAGTGGGAAGTGCTTGAAGTTTGTGAGACGGAAAGAGGTAGGCGTGTTGAGACATTTTTTGTTGGAAATTTCAAGTTCACTCTCACATTACAACGCAACAAGCCTTTTACAACATCAAAATTTCTAAAAAAGAAACTGTGTTGGAGGTCAAAAACAAATCGGCCACTTTCATTCATTGAACCATACACATCATCATGGTGCGCTTCACGAAATTGCGAGACGAAGAAGATGATGCATCCTCTCAAGAGACAGTAATAACTGGCCACATCGGAATTGCTGATATGGGTCATACAAATCATCATCATTCCACGAACAATGCTGCAATCACAACAACGAAACATGAGGACGGCCCATTGAATACACAAACAACGCCACAAACATTGCCAAACCCCACAAATCAAAGCCCTACTCATCATCGGGACCAACCAGTGCCTCAGATTATTCTTTCACTCTCCTCTTCGACCATCTCTTCTCCTGCCACACTTTCCGACTCGCTACTGAGCGTTTCGAATCCGAGTGTTAGAACGTTGCACTGCAATCACCATCACATTCAGCACCATCACAACAAAAATCCTCAATTTGCCAAAGCTTCAGATTTGAAAATTACGGTAGCTCCTCCAACGAATCATGTTCAAGCTCATTTACTGTCTCATGGCTCGCCCAATGAACAACAGCAATTACACAATATTTCGTATCACATGGAAAGAAACGACGAATTGAGTTTCACAAATGAGGGTTATGTAATATTTCACAACTCTGTAAATATTCACAATGATGTGGCAAATGTACGAGAAAAAGGCACGCATGTGCTTGGTAATATCAGGTCGCAACATCACAACAGTTCAGACAATCTCAGAGAGGAATCGTTTCACATGGGTGATGAGGAGCAGGAGTATGATCTTGTCACAGACAAATCTCTGGACAAAATTGAATCAACAAATTCCCTTAAAACAGCTGGGAGTGAGGACGAAATGAAAACATTAGCAACCAATCAAAAAACAGCCTTATTGACTACGAACAATGTAATTGCTGAAACATGTGTGTCTACTCCAAAGAAAATGATCAGAACGAAAAGTAATGTCACAGATATCAGTAGCACAAGCTCTCAAAGCTCCGTCATGGATCCTATTGACTCCAGTAAGCGTCCAGCGTCTACGGGTATGTGTAAAAATCATCTTGACATGAAAGGAAGTGGTAAATGCACCTTTTGCAATGAGTTCATCTGTCAGAAATGTCAAGTAGATTTGAAAGAAATTCCATGCATTATGAAAATATTGTACCATAGAAATGTCATACAAAATACCATTTGCTATCAATGCCATGAGGATCACGTAAAAGATCTCAATATTATATGGTTGGTTATTGGGGGTATTTGTTTTGGTGTAATTTTCCCTCCGTTATTGATTGCAGCTCCATTGATTTGCATTTTAAGGTCTAGAAATGCCAAGCTGAAAAAAGTAGGATGGATATCGTTTTGGTCAATATCGTTCGGGTTGTTTGCATTGATAATGATAGCATGCATAGTCGTAATAATACTGAAATCGAATAATGTTTTTTAAGAAAGGTTATATGCCCAAATCTACAAAATAATGACATCATCTCCATTGCTACCATCACTTATAATACTATCATTGTTGTTGACGATAACTACATTTTCAGGTGGGATATAATCATCGTCATTGTTATCAATAACAATTTCTGAGATAGAATTGTCGAGATCATCGTCGCTAGAATCAATGACTTCAATAGTAGTTGTGCTGATATTTCTAGTGCTGCTCTCATCATCAATTAAAATTATGTCATTAAGATCAGAGTACTTTTCGTGCCGATTGTTTAAGACTGTATCTCTTTGTTTTGTTGGATTGGAATCAACGGAGGGCAATGACAAACTGATGTTTTTTGTATCCAATACACTTCCTTTTCTCTTCAAGTACAGTTTTGGCTTTTGTGAAGTTGATGTAGATTTCGTGGTGTCAGTGCATTCTGATTTAGATGATGAGGCCGAAGCCGAGCTACTAGTTGAAATGGACTTCTTCAAGAAAGATTCCATGAATTTTCTAGATTTTTGAATACCAGCATAATTCTTTTTCGAATCAATTTCCTTCTTCTTCTCTGGTTCTTTCACTTTTATGAAAGTTCCTCCACATTTTTTCTCATGATCTGGAAACCAGTCGTCGTACTTGTTTGGAGCTCGATTCATGGCTCGCTTCACTAGCATGGAGCACTTTGCACATTTCCAATGATGTTGTCTATAATAATCAACCTCATCATGAAAACTATGATAAATCGTTATATGAATCCCAGTATTTGCTTCCACTCGATTAATATAATTCATCCACCATTTAAAGTTATCACCATGTCCTTCCCTGTCAACCACATTGGAATCAATGAAAAGAAACGCATGAATCATTTCATGAATTAAGGTAGATATAGTATCTATGGAAGGTCTAAATTTCAATAGCTTTTCAGAAAGTGAAATTGTGCAAACTCTTTGAGAAATCTGTTCCTGCTTTTTCACAACATCACCAGGCGTTTTTCCAGTATAAGTTTTTGTTATAGTCAATTTTTGGTATTGACTGTAGCAAATTCCAGCACATAAAGTCATTTTACTACTCCATCGCAATGTCGTACAAGCACCGAGTTTGTTATGAAAATATTTCTTATCAAAATGTGTAAACAAAATATGAACGTCGGGAGTTGGTGATTTTAATTCTGATAAAATAATTGCATCATGGATCATTTCCATGGTTTGATTGGAATAGATCGGAATGTCATGATCGTGATGATGAACAGGATTTACATATGCCTTGTTGTGGTTGTTGTGATCATGGCAATGGTTGTTATCGTACGAACAATTTGGAGCACTAGATGAATGTTGGCATGGCCCTCCAGCGTTCAAATTTGAAACGTTGGGCCGGTTGTTGCTCGTGCCAGCAACAGGGTGCGTGAGTTTTAAAAAAACCGAGTTGTTCAAAGGAGGCATTTTTTGATTGATTTTTTGGCTTGTAAAGTGTCCTAAGGATGTTTTAAAGCACACCAACACAAAGCCTTCTGGCCACTATCATCACGAAGATCGTTGGCTCATTGTGCATTTTATTTTATGATTGTATTCAATTCATCTTCAAACCCTTGTAATTAAACAACTGATTAATGCATTTGAGGCAAAACCACCTTTGAGGAAAATTTTTAAAAAAAATACAAGTCCGCAAAAAAAAATACGTGATGCTGTTGGAAAGAAATGATTCCGAACTGGTTAAATGATACTCCCAACAATGGGCATCAGCAGCAAAATACATCCACTCAGCAAGGATATGCAAGCTCAAGCCAACAAGAAGCACAACACCCGACGACAAATATCATGAGCGTGTCTTCAAACCAATCACAAAACATTAATCAACAGCCACAACAGAAAGCTTCATATATTAGGATAAATCCGAATACAACAACACCCATCATCAGCAATAATTTTAATTATAATAATTCATCGACTCAAAATTCGTTGATGAATTTATTTTCACTACCAACCAATCGATCATCCCTTTCACAACCACAACAACAACTTTCGCCACCACAACATCACTATTCCACAACACCCCTTTCTCAAATTCCACAACAAAATCTTCCCGTGATGACAAATACTGCAGCACTCATGAGCCAACCACAAGCCAACAACATTGCACCAATCGATTATAGTCAGTATCCACACAACACTATTTCACAACAAATACGACAACCATTTCTTTCACCACCAACTCCACAGCAACAATTTATAGGTCAAGCATCAATTCTAGATTCTAGTTCTACCGTTCGCGCAAGTAGCCTCCTTATGACATCAACCCCTGACCAATTTCCTTTTTTATCTCTTTCATCTAACCTAAACATCAGCTCATCGACAACTTCGACATCTTCCTCTTCCAGCGGCTCTTCATCATCATATATGGTCCCTCCTGCTTTCCAAGACCCTAACCTTTCTAAAAATATCCCGAGTGTCACACAAGGTAAACACGAAACATCATGTTTATTATGCAAAATTCGGCATAGAAAATGTGACTATCTCTATCCATCTTGTACTCATTGCTCTAAGGAAACTCGAACATTTTGCCTGTATCTGCAAGGAAAAACCCAAAAGCCAAAACAGCATGAGGAGCGAGACCATAAAAATGAACTATTCATGATAACAGGAGAGGAGGAAGACAATATCACAAAATATATAACCAGAGAAAATATTGACACAATTTACAAAAACGTACATAACAATATTAGCAGCATCAAGTGTGGACCTGAAATTACGAGCAAATTATCTTATTCGTTAAGCATGAAACTTATGGCGAAAATTCTTCCAAAGGCAGAACGGGATCTCCTTTCGCAATTGCTTAAAGTTTCACTTTTTCCTCAAAACGAAAAATTAGTTGGAAATTTGGAATATTTCTACAAATATTTTAATACACTCGAAGACACAGACCGTGCCATGATGTACATTCTTCAATGTCTCTGTTTGCAAAGAATTGGAGAGAAAAAGTTGGGGAGAGAGCAATTTGAGAAAGCCAGGTCTAAAATGTCAGCAATGTTTGATCACGTTTCAGATTTTAAATTAATGGCAGTATATGCATTGGTTGTGGCATACCTAGTGGGTAAGTACTTTGCAATAATGCACAAGTTTGTTGACAACTAATGTACTTTTTAATCATACTAAATTCAATTAGGCGAAGGAGACAAACAAAAAGCAGAATATTATTTGAATCATGTGAAATTCTATGTGAAAGAGTTTCAGCCTACATCTGAAAATGCTCATTATTTGCTGAGAACTGCTCTTTTTTCAGAGTCTTTTCTTCAAAGTAACAATCATGACCAATTATTAACTCATTTCGAGAATGTTCTACTCTTTTTCACTCCCAAAGAAGCAGCGTCATATAGTTTGTCTAAAGATGCTACAGACGCTGTTTCTAAATATATAGCCAGCTCAAATGAGCAAATGTTTTCGGTGAAAGAACCCAAAAAACCAAACCCAGAAAAAACTGAGCTAAAAAGACAATTGTCCGAATTGAAACATCTTGTGGAGCAAAACAGGCAAGAATATCCTATGGGATACCACCAATTATTTGATTCTCTTTCTACAAGCTCGGAAGGAAGTGAGTATGACGATGAGTTTACACATACAAGCGAGAGAGAGGAACCAAATGAAAACTTAGAAAACAAAATCAAGCAAATTAACATAGCTGTAGAGAATATCAAAGCAATTTTCGGAACTACAGATTATATTGGCAACATGTTCATGACATTTCTTTATTCAATTGTGATTTTGAGAAAACATCGATCATTTAAGGGCGAAATATCACTTGAAGCAATCAAATATGCCGATTTAATTTCTAAAACGACACAATACGAAGATTTTATTTACTCATCCTTTCCATGCTCTGTACCAATTTCTCTTGCATGTAGGGTCCATTTGCAATCACTCAAGAATATCTTGATCACAACCTCTCTCATTATTGCCGAATACGCAGAAAAATTAGTTTCATTTCTCAATATGGATTACCAAGCATTGAAAATGCTTGCAAAACGATTTCCGCTTGTGGATCAAAAATATAACAAGTTGTTGCAGGATGTACAGGTCACACTAGAGAACTTCCAGCAAATGAAAGACAAGGAACCTTCTCGATTTATGTCATTGCAACACCTCTCGCAGTACATGAACGTTTTCTAAGAAATGGAATTTTTCAAAAGTTACCAAGAACAATTTTGTGAGCATGATTCTTGGTGTGAAGCAAGATAAATTGCAATTCAACAACGCCTAGGTTCAATCATTACCTCTCTTTTGATTACCTATGCATTATCTTGTTTTTCACACGATCGAATCTTGCCGAAATCCAAGATCGCGTAATCAAGATTACTATTACTATTGCAAGTCACAGTTGGATCTCGCTCATGCATCCATGTAAGCAAGAAGAGGAGTTCAAACATGACTATTTTCCAAACCAAGCAATTTCGGGAAAAAATCACAAAGACCAAAAAAATGCTTCAAAATGTACCAAAACAACGCTAGCCCAAATCAACCTCCGCAACAACCACAACAGCGATGGATCCAACCATCCATACCACAACAAGCTTCTTCTTCCAAAGATGATAAATCATATTCCCAACAACCTTCTTCTACCTTGCAACCAACAATTTCGCCGACAAGTTTCATCGGGAATAGCCTCCGAGCAAGCACTTTGTTAATGGCTCAAAACGATTCTCATCCATTGTTTCCTGTGTTTGATGCAAACTTGTATCCTGGGCAAGAGGAAACATCCTTGGCTCATCAACCAAGGAGCATGGTACCACAGCGAACGACGACATTACTCAACCACGATCATCACCAGGATTTGGGTTATCTTTCTCAACAGCAACATTTATCATCAGCAAGTAATGCTCTTATGGATCATCCACCATCATCAAAAGCGACGCAATATGTGTCACCACCTTCATCTGTGAGTGGTGTTGACTCGGACGGATTAACAAATCTTCGACCGACAACTAGCCTCCCAATTCCAGATCAATATTTGGCTTCAAATTTAATTGTGAGCGAACAAAATTCTCAGGCAACCCAAACAACAACGCCACAATATGCTCCGCATTCCAAAGCCGACACCTCTTGCTTGTTATGCAAAATACGACATCGAAAATGTGACTATTTATTTCCATGCTGTTCTAATTGTGTAAAAGAAAATAGATCTTTTTGCCTGTATGCTAAGAGACAATGCCAAATATCTCATTCATCGTCAACAATGACATCATCGCCGTTTTTGCTGAGTGAGACAGAAGCAGAATCCATTTCATCGCTCCTCCCTAAAGACAATATTGAATCCATCTGCAAAACAATTTATAATAATATCTCAAGTATCAAAAGTAGCCAAGAAATTACTAACAAACTATCATATGATGTTTTCCTGAAAATTATTTTGAAAGTTTTACCCACCACAGACAAAGAACAAATTCTACAATTCATGAGAGTTTCGTTATTGCCTCAGACCGAAAAATTTTTTGGAAGTTTGGAATACTTTTACAAATATTTTCACGTTCTTGGAGAAAATGATTGCTCGTTTATTTGGACTTGCCAGGCAATGTGTTTTCAACGGATTAATGAATTTGCCTTAGCTAAAACGCAATACGAGAAGGCACGATCGAGAATGGCAATTGTTTTTGATAATGTTTCAGATTTTAACACTATGTTAACCTATTCCTGGTTGGCCATTTATCTAATTGGTATGTTTTTTAAATTACAACCACAGGCCATAACACAATTTGTTAACATTTAACGTAGGAGCTGGTGAGCGACAGAAAGCAGAATATATTTTGAATAATGTAAAATTTTATGTGAAGGAATTTCATCCTGAAGCAGAACGTGCTCATTGTCTTTTGCGAACCGTATTACTGTCAGAATCCTTTTTGCGAAGTAATTATCTAGATGAACTACTAGAGAGTTATGAAACAGTTCTTACTTTTTTCACACCAAAAGAAACGATCAACTATAGCTTGTCAAAAGATGCTGTGGAAAACGTTTCAAAATATGTAATAAGTTCCAATGAAAAAATGTTTCAAGTCCAAAAACCAACCAAAACAAATCGTCAAACATCTTCTCTCAAGCAGCAGTTATCGAAACTGAAAGAAGTTTTTGAATATAATAAGGACAAACAAGATTATCAAGATTTGCCTTTAGGTTTTCATCAACTCATTGACTCGTTATCATCAAGTTCTAGTAGTGACGGAGGGGATGAGCTGAATTCAGAAAGGCAAGTTCCTGAATGTACTACTGAAAACGTGGAACATACAATTAAGCAAATTAGCGTTGCTGTAGAGAATATCAAAACAATATTTGGACCCAGCGACTTTGTCGGAAATACATTCATGACCATGCTCTATTCCATTGTGATTTTGAAAAAACACAAATCATTCAAGGGGGAAATATCGCTGGAGGCTATCAAGTATGCAGATTTAATATCCAAATCGACACAATTTGAAGATTTCAAGTACTCGTCGTACGGTGTTGCAGTTCCCATCTCTCTAGCGTGTCGGGTTCATGTGCAATGCTTAAAGAATATTCTTTCTTCAGTCTCGTTAATCATTACTGAATATGCAGATCGATTATTGACATTCATTGACATGGATTACCGTTCACTTGATATGCTTGCCCGGCGCTTTCCACTCGTCGATCAGAAATACAGAACTCTCTTAAAGGATGCTGCACTCACTGTGGAGAGATTTCAAATGATGAGACTGAATGAACCTTCTCGATTCGTAACGCTCGAATACATTTCCCAAAACTTAGCTCTGTAGAAGCGTTCGTTGTTATTGTTGTTGTGTGCAACCAGTAATAACATGACAAGTTTACAAGCTATCATAGTCGTCTGCTGCTCATCCACGAGTAGAACTTCGGTCAAAAATACCATTTCCATGGAATGGGATCAAAGAATATTCTCTCGAAAAACAACATTTCGTTGAACATGACATTGATTTTGAAGGGAATACAGTACACATGGTCACAGACAGGAGAAAAGATTCAATGTGCAGTAACGGGATCCCGAATATTCATTTCGGAAGCAGAATGGGGGCGTACTGTTTTTCGAAATCATTGGACATTGCATAAGTCACCGAGCCCAGTTTTGTAGAAAATCAGCTTCGCACCAGAAATGTGGCATTTCTCAAAACAGCGTTTGTGGTTTCCATCTGAGGATCCCATGATTTTCTCCTCGTGTAAATTTTTTCCAAATGCGAACGGCATACGAAGGAAACAAAAGCGCAACAATGGTCCTCGAATGCATGTATTGCAGCACTTGCTAACAGAAATGGCCATAAAGTGCACCTGTACGACACATTGATGCTATTCATCACAAAGAAAAACCCCTAACGACAACAACAATAACCGAACATGATGATGAGAATGCCATGCAGCAGCAGTACTGCAACTACTACAAACACATCCTTTGCCACAAACGTAGAGACTGACCGTACCTCCCTCGATGCCACAGAAAACAGTTCAACCAGTTGGTTTCTCTTCATGAAACAGTTGTTTCTTGATCAAAGTTCGATTGATCCTTTTACTGTCTTTGATTTGTATTTCCCCTCCCAACAAAGCATGATGATGCAGCAGAGCCCAATGATGACCATGAATGAATCTAGAAACGTATTGATCAACACAGAAAATGTGATGAATGGTTGCCAAACGACACCTTTAGTCTTGTCTCCAGCTACTACTACCATCGATACTACTGCCGGCAGTAGTTATCAAGCGACACGAACGGACTGGGAGGCACCCGTGAATCTTGAAGAAAGTACTGCAGCTTTGTTTTCGGCCAACACTTTTTCAGAAGATTCTGAGCCATCAACCTTCATGAATCTTGAAGAGAATATGCAATGCATTGAAGAGTTGAAGCATGTCTTGATAATGAATGGTTTTATACAACAAGAGCAACCGTTAGCATCATCACACATGATCTCGAGTGACCTAGGTACATTCATGAGTCAATCTTTTGATTTGTATGACTCATCATTGGAAACCGATGAAGAGACCAGTCTTCCTTCATTCTCTGAGTCAAGTTTTGATTCTAACAACAATCACAATACCAATTCAACAATTCCTCCTTCTCCTGTAATCTCTCCCTCATCAGTTCCAAATGTAAATTCCCATTTAGAATCCTCTTCCTCTTCCACCTTTATTAAGGAAAACTCTGAAAAGCCAACTGGCAAATCTTCGAAAGCAACCACCTCTAAAATTTCGAAACCATCCAAGATGACCATAAAAAGGAACGTCAAGAAAAATCCACGACTCATTTTTGAGAAGGAATGCAGAGAACAACGACCTCTCGAGTTTGATATCATTACCACTGAAGAAATGGCTCGAAAAGTATCAGGAACTGCCTTGAAACAAAGGGGAAGACCAAAAAGGAACAGAAATCAATTCATAGGTCAGCAACATACTCAATATTCCAATGATTCTCCATCATCGAGTGCTCCTGTTCATTTTGTTTCGAATTGTTACGACAAGTGCAGTAAAATTTTCAAATAATCATTTTAAGGTTGTGGCGTGAAAATGGAACTTGCGTTTCAGTTCATCCTCTTAAAAAAATGGAGCAACATGATGATGCCAATCCTTACTTGTTGCTTCAAACACTCAATGATGACGTTTTCCGAATTATTCTTTCCTACTTTACCATTCATGAATTATGTGAATTACACATGACCAGTAAATCGTTCATACTGGCGAATCTATCTTGCGAGGATTGTTTCTGGCAACATCATTACCGAACAAAATTACAAAAATTCAAACAATGGACCGCACAAAGTCTATTTGATCCGGAAACCAATTCAAAGATCACTACGTATCCTGAGTATATCTTAAAATATGATCAAAAAACGTCTAACTTTAAATACAATTTAATTGAAATGAATTATGAACTGGAACGAGCGACCGAGGAACATGTGAGCCAAGTATTTAATGAATTGAAAACATTTAAACATTTACACAGCATTCCATTCTACACTAAAAAAGAATTGAAAGAAACATGTTCAACAATTTCAATTGCACAATATTTAAAACAAGTTTATGGTGATTTACAATTTAGAGTGATCGTGAATGGCAATCCAGGAGTCGGAAAAACATGTTTCTTGTTTGCAAAAAGTTATAATCTACGACATTCTGATATGGAATATATACCCACTGTGTAT